GAGAGTGAGGGGGTTTTAAAAATGTGAAGTGTGTCATTAATCATGGAAAAAGAAATATTTACTCAAAAAACCAAACTACTGTTGGCTTTAGCTTTGATGAGACAAATCTTTTATGTTCCGTTGCGTTATAACTTGAAAATTATTTTAAAAAATTGTTCTGCAAACACCTACTTTAAATAAACTAATTTAATAATATAAAATCCAAATGTATTCTAATGTGTCTCTGTATCAGCTGGATGTATAAAACTACTTGTCACATCAAGGTAGAAGGTTTGTGTGTTGTGTTCATACTGTTTCTACAGCCCAAATGGTTAAAAAAAAAATCTTTTTTACTGTAGATTTAAATATCCACATCAACATTTAAATTATTTACCATTAATTCCTTGCATAGCTAATTGGCTAAATACTCCAAGTTATCTACTTCACATAATTATGGATCCTGTTACCACTAGTCTTCTCTGTCTTCCTGATTTCCTTATCCTATTCTTTCCCAACACTTTAACACCCCCCCCAAACCCCTACCATTCTAACGAAGACCTAGGTGTCATTACCTGGCCATGCCCAGGCTGGAGAACCCGGCTGGGATGATGAGAACATCAAGGCGGGGAAACGGGTGGACCCCCAGAATGGTATGGGCTGCAGCCAAACATTGGGACAAGAGCTTGAGGACTCCCATCTGCAACAGAAAGCAACAGGTTTCTCAGTACAACTGGCAGCTGTACAATTACCTGAATCAACTGGTTGTATATTGATCCAAATGGGTAGGTTATGGGGAGTCTGTGAGAACATAAACTTGCTCTTTCACATACAGGTGCTTGTGTGTATATGATGGCTCTACATGTCCCAGATCAGAAAATATGTAGAAATCCAAGACAACTAAACTTTCTATTTGCTCTTAAAAACATTTCACACTTATCTAAAAGTCACCAGCTCCTCACTGACTGAACAGGCAAAAGGCTTGGTGGTTATTACACTTAGAAATCCCATTCAGTGTATGAGGCACGTTTTAAATTGCCCTCATGGGAATACAGCCTCATACATTTACCATTCTGCCAAGAGATGGCATTTGAAAACTTCTGGCAGAGTGACACGAATATTAACTGATGCTAACAGTCTCTTCTAATCATATAAAATATAATTAGCTCAAGTCTCAGTGGCTCTTTGTCCAAACCCTACCTGGGCCTTCTCCAGCAAGCAGACGGGGGCAAATACACGGTGTGGAATCACCCGCTGGGACCTCGCCAACCGCTCAGGAAATCGGCAAGGGTAGTCACCATGGGAACAAGAGATGCTGCCATCCACAGTGCCTGAATAATCGGTTACAGAGAGCCCCTCATCCTCAAGGGAAGAGTAACAGGAAGCAGAGTGTGAGCGGGTGGTCTGGTCTCCACTGTAGCAGATTAAAACAGGGAACAAAAGTTTAATCCAAGGTTAATAACGACGATTTAATGATGTTAAATACTGGATACAGTTCATGAGTTGGTGAACCACATATGGTACAAGGTGTCCTGTCTCTCTGTGCTAAGCATGGAAATAAAAGCAATGGAAATATGGAATGATTATACAAGGCAAACCACAATGATCCCAAAAGTATCTACTGAAGGTGCCGCCATGCAATTTCATTCACTCTAAATCCAACACTAACTCCATCCTCAGCATGAGAACTGTTCCAACGATTTCAAGCAACATCCAAGTTTCCTTCTAGCCATTCACTAGAAATAAAGGCCTTCGTTGTAGCAGGAGGTTCCTGGGGCCTATAGCAGGCTACAGCTGGGCTGCTGCAGGAGGAAAACCTTAAGGGAGGAGGAGGATTACTGGAAACCACTGGCAGGCCTTCCAACCTGCTGGCGAATGGAGGGAAACCCTAGCCTAACCCTGCCATGCCCTTCTAACACTCCAGTCTCCACTCTATATCCTGTGCCTCTAGAAAATCTATGACTGTTAGTTTTTTTTTCTCCTAAACATAATTGCTGCTGGGCTATGGTGCAAGCTTTAATGCACTTGTCATTAAAAACTGAGTACTGCACCCTATCCATCACCCTAATTTAACCTGCACCATTTCTAGTATGGCAGAAGGTAAAAGTTTCACTATGGAATGCTAAAGAGTCACACTTGGGTTAATAACAATCTGGAGAGGAGGTGGTCTTACAAGAAGAAAACACTGAAAAAAAAAAAGAAAATCATAAAATACCTGCCAGTTTGGAGTGGGGAGAGCTTTACTAATTCACTGGAGGAGTTTCCAAGTCCAGACACAAGCCCAGCTTCAGTCCATTCCCCAGCCACAGGTTTAACCTGCTTATCACAGTCCATCTTGTCCTTCACCCCTCTTTCCACTCTTGGGGGAGTTTCTGCTGTGACTTGGCACCAGTGGCCCACTGCCAGGGTGAAGGTGGAGGCTGGCATGGGCATAGTGACGTGGTAATTCCAGACTGAGAAACCTGCAGTTGTTAAAGGAAAAGAGAGGAATTTCAAAAGGTAGAGCAGTGGAGAGGAATTCAAATCACAGAAAGACAGCATGGTAAAAAAAAAATAGGGACAATTTGGACTTAAATGTCATTTTGTTAAACTTCACTATTCAGTCTGGTCATCAGATGATGATGTCTTCATCTTAGACAGTTTTCTCTCTTTTGTCTTTTTGCCCACTTCAGTCAGTAGATAGTTACATATTCCTCATGCTAAAATTTCACATGGCACAGGATCCATCATGGTAGGAGTCACTAAAAACTGACTGACACATTACTGTCATTTCTAAACCAACCTTTGGTAGGTTTGGCTGAAACAGAGGTCATTAAGCACAACACCTTAACTATTTCAATGGCTCAAAAATGCATGTGAACAGAATTTCAGAGGTTTTGAACCAGGGCAGAAAAAAAAAACTTCAAAGTAAAATATAAAGTCTTATTGAAAATTTTTCCTATACCAATGCCAATAAGCAGTTCAGGTCCCAGTAATTCTAAAATGATACTTTCAGTGGTCAGTGTTGTCTTAACAGAAGTAGCTGTGCATGAACCTTGCCTAAATGCATTTGAAAATATTCTGATTTACTTATTTAGACCAATAGCTAATTGACCAACTAAGTAAACAAGCCTAAATCCTTTTACAACCATGCATCCAAAGCTAGCTTTCAATACCTGGCACCACAGATACATTTACTTAAAAAAAAAAAAAAAACCCCATTGTGTCCAATACCCACCCCTACTCACAATTCAGTAAAATGTACTTTCCTTACTGAATAAATAATAAGTTACAGTGAGAATAAGCCACATTTTTAATAAAAGGTCTAAAGATGGAGGGTGTTGTATGCTGTTCAAAATGAAAACCATGAGGTAAATTTGTTATTTTGCACTGTATCAATAAAATCTACCCGACTTCAAATGGTTGTCACAAAATGTCTATGAAAAAGCAGCTTACGTGTGTCTCTGTCCTCAATAGGTACAGCCTGCTCCTCCCCACTCATCAAAACCACACACTCACTGGGGGCCCGTACTGTTGCTTGCCATGTTGACATGGCAACAGGCGGCTCCTGGCAGGGGAAGAGGGCTCGGTTGTTGATGGGAGAACCGGCAGTGTAAACACACACCCTGAAAGGGTAAACAATGCTAACTATAAACAACCCTCATTTCAATGCTCAAAGGATATACCACACACACACGCACACACACTGAACAGAACATAACAGCCTCAGGCATTTTCTTTCTTTTTTGGTGAAGTAATGAATCAGTGTTATTCTATTCTAATGTGGTAAGCTCAAAATATTACACTATAATTCAAGCAGCAGAAATCAGAGCAGATATTTTACTTTTTATTTATTTTTGTATTTTAGCAAGGAAATCCCACTGAGGTATACAACCTGTTTTTCAGGAAAACCTGGCAAAACAGCGCCATTAAAAAGTTAAACAATAAAACGCACATACGATACTAAAACATACAAGAACATATGTGCTGCTAGCTGCCAATTTTAAAAGAGGGAGTATAATTATATTATTTAAAAAAAGGATTCTGTTGTGTAAAATGATTTGCATCCTGAGACAAACCTGCTGTCCTGGTCTTTGGTCCACCTCACAGAGCATCCTGTTGGCCTTGTCTCATAGCAGACCCTGACAGCACAAGGGAACTCCTGAGGGGATGTGACCCTCTTCTTTCTCACCTGCAGACTCCATCGGTCTCTATGAAAATGCAGTACATCCTGAGCACCAGGGGCACGGCTACACAGTGAAAAGAGCTGGTGCTTCTGCCTCCATTGGCCAGAAGGCATGGAGATAAGTTTCTGAATAAAGGCTGTTTGTTGGTTCGCTGAACTGACCCCTGAACCCTTTGGAGTGACCTCTGGTGGAAGGCTAGACGTGGCTGACACTGAGGTGACGTCCACCTCTTCCACCTTTGACACGTCAAGGTCACAGCAGTCCAGCACTAAGGTGAAATCATTGTTACTGGTGGTTTCCCACAAATGTGAAGACTGGATAGTTTTGGTTTCTGGTGCAGTCGGTGACCCAGCCCCAGACAGAGCCAGAAATTCATCTCTGTCTCTTTCTCCAGTGGACATTTTCTCCGTCCTTGTTGTAGTCTTCCCAAGTCCTTTTGTACCATCTTCCATTGTATCCGCATCCTGAAATCTACACACAAACCCTTCCTGGCTCTCTACTGTCCCATCTCCTTCACCAGCTCCAGGCCCAATGTCATCCTCAGTCTTAGACCTCACACCAGAGCATGGCTCCAGGAATAGAACAGCACTACCACTGATGACCTTCCTGTCAAAATGAACAGTCAGGTCCAGCACATAGTGTTTAACAAGTATGTGGTTAGTATTGGCTCGGAGAGGAAGGTCATCTGTATCAGGATTTAGATCCCCATCTGGCTCCATGTCAGACAGATGACGTCAAAGTTGAATAGAGGATGGCTAAACCTGGGAGCCAAGACCAAAAATAATGCTTTATTTATTTGTTTTTCCCTTACAAATATATATTTATCACAGGGTAACTGACTGTATATTTATGCAAGTACTTCTTTTAGTTTGTGAATGAAGTGTTTTGCTAATGTACTGCAATGAAGCCAAATGCAGACTCGACAAGACAGAGATGCAACAATAGTGAAAAATCCTAAGAGGTATTTACTGCAGGAATATATCCATACAATTATGGGCAAAAAAAACAGAGGGTACACGAAAGCACAGAACACCCAGCCCGTAGGCTAATATCATTAGTCCATCTCTGACCTAAATAACCTCACTGACTGTTTTAACTACTAAATCCTCACGGTATTTCTGTAAACTGTAATTAATGAAATAACAAGAATGGCTCCAAAGGTTTCCAGTGGGCTGATGGGATTAGTGGAGTAAAGAGAGATTACGCAGATAAAGGTTTTTAACTTAAGTTTAAACGGAGACAGGTGAGGGCACATGCAGTGTTCTTGCAGGCAAAACAGGTAAGAACTTGCCATTGTCAAACAAGAGGGAACTTAACTGTTACCAGCATCATCAAGGATTTGCCTTCATCAGTTTAATTTTTTTTATAGGGTGTGACTTTCAAAATATAGCACAAATAAGAGACATCTTAACCACCGTTTGAGTTTTAAAGTTTAACGTTACGAAGGAATGAAGCTAAATTCACATCATGTTTGCTCGCTTTCTTCGGTGAAAACTACGGCAGCAGTGACACCAGAAATCATCAGCTTTACTGCTGCTAACGATGCATTTGGTAATACTTTAAAAAAAACAACTGTCAAAACATCGCAAAACATTACAAGTACTGGCGTGCTGTGAATGAATCTTTAAACAAACCTATATCCGGTGTGTGGAGGTCGGGCAGTGATGTCGTCACAATGATGCGACTGCAGCAATTTGTAGTTTTTTTTTTGTTTTTGTTTTTTTTTTTAACCGGGATTCTTCCCTCCCTAAAAGCTCGCTTTGTAGTTTCATACTGAGATTATCCAAGATTTGTCTGGACAACTGTAAATGTCACAGTGCTAAAGAAATCCCCCATAAAGTTATTACTTAATACAGTTACCTAAACATATGTAAGTCTGCAAACAAAAGCAAGAAACTGATGACTCTCTAAACATAAATAAATAATGTGAAAATATTATATTAAAGACTTTTAATTTCATCACATTTAAATAGTCACTAACCACAGTGGTGACAAATGTGCATATATTAACTTTTATTCAAGGGCATCAACAGCATTGTATGCATGACAAAAAGTTCTATATTACATTAAAAGACAACAGGTAGCCTATGAACTTAAAAGATAACTAATAAAGAAACATAAATACAGTCTCCAGTTGTTGAATGTCACCAATATCTAACATGAACTTTCAGCAATATTGCATGATTTAAAAAGAAGTATACATTTTAATTAAGACTCAAAATTAATACATACGGTTTATCTTTGTTTCTTATTTAGTCTTTTAAAACTTTAAACAGTTCATAAATAAGAGGTACCTAAAAACAGAGTGACATATTTAAATAGTAGCCTATTAGTAGTGTATCTAAAAATGTATACCTACTTTTGAAACACTGTGCACATTTACATTACTTAAATACAGAATGAGCTGCAACATAACACCAGTCAATTGAGCCTTATCATGGATTTCAAATACAATCTGATTGCCACAATTTAATACTCCAAAGCAGTAGTTCTCTTCTGGAATCCATTCTTATATATGGAGAAAACACATTTCACAGGGCAACAGCTGTGTGGACTGACTTTTCATCAAAATATCGTATTTCTGGTTATCTCAGTTTGAAACTTCATTTGAAGTCAGAACTTTAGCCAATTATATTTAAACTCAGTTTTACACAGCTCCTGACATTTAATCCTATAAACATTCCCTTCTTAGGTCAGTTAGGATCACTACTTCATCTTAATGTGAAATGTCAGAATAATAGTAGAGAAAAATGTTTCATTTCAGTTTGTATTTCTTTCATCACATTCCCAGTGGAAGTCTGTTTGGGGTCCATTTGGAAAACCTATTTGTGACCAAGCTTTAACTTCCTGGCTGATGTCTTGAGATGTTGCTTCAATATAACCACATAATCTTCCTTCCTAATGATGCCATCTATTTTGTGAAGTGCCCCAATCCCTCCTGCAGCAAAGCATGCCCACAACATGATGCTGCCACCCCTATGCGTCACGGTTGGGGTGATGTTCTTCGGCTTGCAAGCCTTCCCGTTTTTCCTCCAGACATATTGAAGGTCATTATAGCCAAACAGTTCAATTTTTGTTTCATCTGACAAGACAACAGTTCTCCAAAAAGTAAGATCTTTGTCCCCATGCGCAGCTGCAAACCATAGCCTGCCTTTTGTATGGCAGCTTCTTCCTTGCTGAGCAGCCTTCCAGGTTATGTTGATGTAGGTCTTCTTTTACTATGGATATAGATACTTTGGTACCCGTTTCCACCTGTGTCTTCAAAAGGTCCTTTGCTGTTGTTCTGGGATTCATTTGTACTTTTCAGACCAAAGTACTTTCATATCTAGGAGACAGAAAGTGTCTCCTAAATGAGTGGTCTGGTGGCTGTGTTGTCCCATGGTGTTTATACTTGCATAGTATTGTTTGTACAGATGAACGTGGTACCTTCAGGCATTTGGAAATTGCTCCCAAGGATGAACCAGACTTGTAGAGGTCCACAGTTTTTTTTTTCTTAGGTCTTGGCTGATTTCTTTTGATTTTTCCAAGATGTCAAACGAAGCGGTACTAAGCCTGAAGGTAGTCCTTAAAATCCATCCACAGGTGCACCTCCTGTTGGCTCAAATGATGTCAATTAGCCTTTCAGAAGCTTCTAAAGCCACATCATCATATTCTAGAATGTTCCAAGCTGTTTAAAGGCACAATCAACTGTGTGTATGTAAACCTCTGACCCACTGGAATTGTGATGTAGTGAATTATAAGTGAAATAATCAATCTGTAAACAACTGTTGGACAAATTATGTGTCATTCATAAAGTACATGTCCTAACCAACTTGCCAAAATGAGAATGTTAACATGACATCTGTGGAGGGTTTTAAAAAACCTGTTTTAATGGCTTCAACCTAAGTGTATGCAAACTTCTGAAAATTGTAAGTAAGGAAGAAAGGAATTTGGCACTTTGTACATCCATTTACAAACAGGTGCTGAAACTATGAACATAGAGACTGTTACATCACACTCAGTCATTGATGAATGCTGGACGAATAACATTTCCACTTAATGTCATAATTGTTATTTATCTAAAAATACATTTCCATAAAATAAAATGTAAAATAGTCTTTCATACCTTTGTAAACTGCTTTGTGGTTATCTGCTGTAATACCTCTACTATATACAAGGTCTGGATTTAGATTGTATTGCAAGTCTCTTATCTACAGTACCTCCTTAATAAATTATTCTATTAGCTACCTGGCCAGGTACTGTATGCCCAGCAATAACAAGACAAGAATGGCCTTAGGAGTTAACACAGGAAATTATATCTATTTTTCAAGTGCACAAATCCACCGATACTTGCTGTTCTAAGTGGTACATATCATGCATAGATGCCCACAGTGAATTTTCAGAGGCCCTTTAGCACATAACAGAATTATTTATCAAGAAATGAGAACAAAGTGACTTCACTATGGCACCAAAATCTTCATCTCCAAACATGAACTAAAGAAACACATATTCACACAGGACAAAGATGATTGGCACACATACAGGCCCTGGGCCAGCAAGGACCTCAGCCAGGAACTCTAGACTGCTTCTTTACCAAGCCAGAGGAAATGTTTGCAGCATTATCAGGACCTGGAGTTATCTAAAAAGGAAATCAGCAGAGCCAAAGGCGTCTGCAGTTTTTACAGTGAAAAGCTCAATAAGCTACACTTTGCTTGAGATTCCCACCCCTTATTTTTATGTGCTCATTCTCTCTTTTGCCTCCTGTAACAAACAACCATGAAATAACAGAAGTGGGCATACAGCAGCTATTCATAAGCACTCCTGAACTGTTGAGAAACTGAGAGTCCTCCTTTGTGGACACAGTGTACTGCTCCCACGCAGACAAGTGCAAGGGTATCACCAGCACTTCCTTTCCTCGTTTTTCTTCTCTTTCATCTTATCTGCTCTTTTCCTCTCTCAGTGATGTGACAGCTTCCCCCTTCCTCTCCCTTGCATTCTCTTAGATGACTTGTGGTATCTCAGGAGTTTTCCTCCTGAGTTCTGCGCAAACTTAGACGTTTGAAAGAGTCCCTGTGAGGGGGAGAGGACAGTGAATGAGGGAAGATAGGAAAGAGAGAGAGAGAACAGAGCTTCAAAAGATGGCAGACATTTTTTTCCCCATACTTAACCCACCCATTAGCTACTGTGATGCTTCATGTGTTAGACATGGTCATACATAATAGGATTTAGTCCAAGATATTAAGGCTAACTTGGATTAGGATTACAATTATAAACCAACAGTCCATTAAACGTCTTGTTTCAGATGCATCTGAAACAAGACGGAAATGCATTATTACTAAAACACAAGTGCATGGTGGTTGTGGTTCAGCTATCAATATTTGTAGAGGTGACAGGGATCAAATCTATTTGTGGTCATTTTTCTCTGGGTTCAGCAATCATACACAGTGTTGAAAATATCTGTGACACAGTATGTATTTCAGCTCACCTTACTAAAACAGTACTAGCAGTTTAACTCGGTGGATCTGTTTACCTGTTCTCCAGCCGAGGCCTGATGATCGGTTTATATAGTTCAGGGATCTTTCTCTCCAGCATAGGCCTCAGGCTCTCTTTCAGGCGGTTGTAGTTCTTCTTCAGTTCCTGATACTCCTTCTGGTCCAACATGATCAGGTGCTTATTCTTCTCAACTGCCTCACCACACCTACAAATCAGACAGCACAGGAGGTTGGAAATAGGATTCATAATACATTTTCTTAAATTACATTTCATGAGATGAAAAGATGTACTCCTTGACATTTTGATTGCAAAGACCTCAATCACCAAAACAGCTTCAACAGTGATTCTGTGCAAGCCAATCTTGCGCTAACCCCTTCTCTATCCTCAAGCCTTCAGAAATGAACTGCACAGTTTCATGCTAACTACATCCTGTAACCACTTGACATAAATTGGACTCCTTTGCATGCCAGAACTCTGAGTTAACAATGTATTTGACTGTAAAAAAAACTCCTACATCCCTAATAGATCTTTCCAAGTGCCTCTGCTAGAATGTGAGCTCAACTGCAAATGACCCCCAAGGCTGTTTGTAAACAGTTAAAGGAGCTGCAGAAGTAAAACTCTAAATTACAAATGACTAAAACAATAAAATCCTTTTCTCCCTTGTGTACTAGCAAAAGGGAAATGCCTTATGATTAAGGACAGTACAACATAATCTGCAAGGGGTGTCCCTGCAGTCCTCTATCATAACATGTATAATGACCAACACACAGAGCAACCTGCAGGAAATCAGAGAGATGGGGATGAGTTTATCTCTATGCTTTTAATGAGCGCAATATTGAAAATTCTTGTTACAGTATACAGTAAATACATAGGGCAATGAGCATCAATTAAAGATTAATTACAGACTGTGAAAGCCATAAAAACATCTAATATACACATATTGCTCTGACTGCTCAGATTGAAATTATAATAAATTCCTGATGACCATCTATAACAATTAAGTATCTTTATTTTTATGACTAAATGAATGCTAACTTCTGTAAAATAAATGCTTTGTCTTTCCTGTAGGTGCAATATCACTCACTCTGAGCTGGAAAATAGTCACTTTTAGTCAGTTACTGGAGGTAAATCATCCAAATTTGTGCAAAGTCAGCAATAACTCAGCTTGTGACACAATGACACACCTGTCAAAATTGCCATCAAGGTGCATTAATATTAAGGATTTTAGCTTTTGAGACTTTCTGCAGGACAAAATTACCTTGTTTAATTTGTCAAGAGATGTTGGCCATTGTACATTAAAGATGTTTCTTTGCTCTTCTTTTACTTACTAAACCAAATTGCAATTCTCATATATCCATTTAGGTGCAACTGCATCTTGAAAATTCAAGATCATGTAATAGTTTAATGAAACGTAGTTATTCCAGATTATTCATTAATAAAAGTCAACAAAACAATGTTTCCTGATATCATTTTTTTTTAGAATGCCTCTGTTAGGAAGACTGGCATACAAGGGGTCGAGTGCCAGCTGGATTTGGGATAGAAAATAAACCTTTGTGAAATTGAGGTAAACATTTGTTAACCTGCTTGTAGCTGTGAAGTCAGCTACAATGTCACATGAAGGCTGAAGAAAAACCTCACATGGCGAATGCCCATGAGATGAAAGTGCGCACATGCACACCAATACACAAACGCCCACACTACACACGCATCTCCTGCACAAAATCAGCATATCCTTGGACAAAGGTTGTGGGTAGAATGGTTTACATTATCTTCTAAATATTCAAAATGTAATGTAGCCTTGAGAACAACAAACCGTCGCAGTTTTAGTAGAAAACAGCTTAATATTATGAGCAAAATATCTTCCACTGCCATCTCTCCATCTTGACTGGCACTGCTTAAACTGCAGGATATCAGTCTGCATCAGTCGCAGATGTCTGTGGTGCTCTTTTAGCTTCATACACTGACACAATAACAGTGTATACATAGAGGACCCTAGAGATGGCTCTCACTCTTTCTATGTCAAGTCTCAAAAACAGCATGCATTTCAATTCAATAATCTCTTTAAAGTATTTTCAAAATCTTCCACCTACTGAGCCAGTGCCAGCACACTGGTTACAAAACAGAGACAGACAGACAAATAAATAGTTGGTGAACCCGTTTAGCTTTATGGCTCACCGTGAATAATCTTTTTTTTTTGTACAGTGAGTTGTCGCTAGTTAGTGTTTCTTTGGTGGTACTGTACCTCATTATAAACTCCTTGAAACACAGGCGCAATTTGTTGTGGTGACGGAAGAGCTTCGGGTCCGCTGGGATCTCATTCAGGAAGACCTGGGCCACCTCCAATGGACCCTATGAGGGGGGCGTGAGGGAAGGTGACAAAAACAAAGAGTCACAGGGACAAAGAAGGACAAAGCAAAAACTGAGTGGAGGGAGGAAAGAGTAGAGGTAAGTGAGGAAGTGTTTGAGAGTATATAAATAAAAGGAGGGATGATCTCTTTCATAAGGGGAAATGACTTGCTAACCGATTGCCTGATGCAACTATGGGCGGAGATACTGAAGGAGGACATGAGGAAGAGATCAGATCAGAGAAGGAGCCATAATTAGCCTCATGCATGGCTAATGCCATCACTAACCCCACATACACCCACCATTTGGCTCCCATTTGCCCTGTATGAGATCTTGTTATCTTAACTTATATTCATCATAAAACCACAGCAAATTTGTACAATGCCTGCATCACGATAGGCACAGTTAAACAGCTCTGATTAGCCTCATAAACGCATTGGACCTGGGCCTCAGTCCCTGGCCTGAGCTGCAGACCCACACACACAGAAACTAAGCCTCTGTACTGATTATCGTCAAGTTATATGTTTACGGAGCTGCTGAGAATTAGCGTTATGTATACAGCCATCAGGTTGGAGCACGGGACCTGTCAGATTAGATGCTAGAGAGTAAAGCATAAGGGGAGGGAGCAGAGATGCTGTATCTAGCTTCATCATTACTCCAGCATTCACCACGCTGGCAGGACCTGGAAGCCATGAGATCAAAGAGACCTCCGGTTCAGCCTGCCGTGCAGCAGAGACATGAAAGGAAGAGGGGCGATGAATTGACGTTTTAACTAAATCAAGGGAAAAGCAAAGGAAGGATTAAGGTTATGGATAGGGTGAAGGCTTTGATGTGTGATCACTGTCATGTCTCCCACCTGCACCCTGTGACTACAATGGAAAAACTCTAAATGTGATAAACTAAATAAAGGTAAATTATTCTGGTTTATTTCCCTCGTCACATTAAGAAGGAACACTCAGGGGACAAAAGGGCTCCGTATGAAGTGCAATCATTTTAGGAGAACAGCCACCATAACACAGCTTAACATAAATTGATCATCAGGGGTAGACATACAGTAGTGTAAAAAGAAGGCAGAGCCTTCATTCACCAAGTCTCTGCAATGCTTGTACATTACCTGATTAACAGTGGCCCCCACAGAGCCTTGTAGCAGCATCTGTAACATCTTAGCATCAGGCTGTTCTCTGTGTGTAGCAACTGCTAGCTCTCTAGTCTTCTTCTGCATGTCCTCTATGGCCACCTCAATAGGAGTTAGATCAAACTGGAAACAAGAGAGCAGGTTGTACAAATTTATAGTTGCAATCATCAGACAACAAATGTTGAGAAGCTGTGTGGATGTTCTACGCCATGACTTTGGCACTTACCTCCTCTTTCTGGATGACATTGAGGCGAGTCTTGACGTAGGGGAAGGCATGCATGGTGGTGAGGATGGTCTTCCTCTTGTACTGCTCGTGGAGTTCACCCCGTGGCCGTCCGCTCTTGGTGAAGGGCGTGGTGTACATGAACCGCCGCAGGTTGTAGTTCTTCTCAAAGTTTGTCAGCCTGTCTTTCATCTCATAGTCATCAAAGTAGGGCTCCACAAAAGTGATCTGGATATATGCCTGGAGAGAAGTCATGGGTATTTTACTCATAAAACCGGGCTCTCAGCATGATAAAAATCCAGTGCTTTTTTTATTTAGTCTATTTCTCTATTAATTTATTTTGCTGAAAGCCACCAGAGCGTACAGTGCTTTCTTCCCTAGGAGCCAGCCACCAGGCAGGATGCTGAAGGGCACATTGCCTATTCAAACTGTCCAGGACTGATTTGTGCACTCTACCTGAACTAATCTTTATTTTTAGGACTGTTGTTATTCATTTTTGGCCTGCAAAGATGTGCACATGCCAATGTGTGTCTGAAATTGCATGTTTTATACATATGACATCCATATTAGGAAAAGCAATAAATTACACTGTACCATTTATACAGTATACTATGGTATATAAATGATTTCCCTTTACATTTACATGTCTAGACATTTTCTGCCTGTTAACATGAATACAATTTATTTTAATATTTTATGAATAAAGCACTGTCTTCACAAATTATATACACAAATTGACATTGTCCATGTATAATACTACAGTCCACACATCTTCTCCTTACCTTCTACTTTCTGTAACTTACTGCATATAGTGGTCTTGATTTAGTATTCATTAAAAATACCCCAAATTTACCATTTTCTTATTCATCAAATGTTCTCAGCAACATAACATTAGTACTTGGTAATGCAAAGAATACATTTTACCTGGGGGGTCATTAATATTTGCAATTGCAGTACAGACAGAAATTTGCAGAAATTCATGTTGTGACACTGTGGACACCTACCTTTTTTGGGTTGAGCTGTTTCCTGTCCACTGGTGTAGAGTCCTTGATCATAATCAATGTGTCGTCTCCAAAACACTGACTGTAAAAGTTCTAGGAATGAGGAAAACTGATAAAATGACTATAGTGTATTGATCACAAATATAGAGATTTCATTGCAATTAATTTAAGAATAATATACTAAAATTTAAACATTATTTAGCCACTGCTTTACTGGCTTATTTGAGAACACACGGTCCACATTGTATTGCTCCTGATAACATCATTTCTCCTTTTATGCATGCGAAGGAATGCCAAGTTTGCCAAGCTCTCTAAAAACCCACTAAAACCAGATGGATGATTAAGAGTCTGTTCCCCCAAAGTCTCCAAGTCATTATCAGATCCCACCAGTCCAGGCAGGCACCATCTTCCCCTTTCACTCCACCGCAATCACACATTAATTCACAGTGTGCACACACACACTTTCCTCCTTCGTACCTCCAGCCTGTGTGATATCTCAGGCAGATGTGTGATCCCAGGCTCCTTGTAAATGAATTCCCGTTCGTCTAGGTCACCAAATTTGGCCCCATAAAAACCCACCCGGAAATAGGTTCCAAACATCCTCTTATGGCCCTGAAGGGGAACACAGAGAAGACTTCTTATTGGTCTCTAATCAGTATGACATCAGAAACATATTCCTTTCTCATTATGTTAGTAGTCTTTTATGGGTCCTTTAATGTCAATAACTTTTAGAAGGGTTTAGTTTAAAATTTTCATATGGTTGTAAATGTAATTTGAAAAACAAACAAAAAAAACTCATTGAGCACAACAATTATCTCATTGTCTTTTTAAGGATCCCTATTATTAGTTATAAAATCATTTTAAAAGGTACAAATGTGCTGTACATAAGAAATACTGAATCAGGAAATGTAGGCACCTGAAAGGTTTTTAAATTACTTTTTCAATATATAAAAGGTCTTGATATGTGATCTATTGCAGTATCTTACCATCTTTCTGAATTTTCCCTTAACCTTAACTGGATAAGGAGCCACATCAGTGTCATATATTGTAGTTATTACCTTCTGAATGATGTTCTCAAAGGCTCTCTGTAGTTTGTCGTGAGTGGATGCCAGTTTTCTGAAATCTCTATGAGCTTCTAGGATCGGTATGATGATCTTGTAGACTTCATTCACTGCCTCATAGAGACCACCCTGATGAGAGAGCCATCACTGCTGGTTAGAATGACCACATATGATATATAAAGAGGAATCGTTTACATTTAACACTAAATATATCAAACCAAATGTTCTGTGGCATGACCATCCTAATATTTATTCTCAGTGACTAAGTGCATACTCACTGCAAACATCTGCTGTGTCTCAGGTTCATGCTATGTACCTTAAACTGGTCACTCAGGATTAACCATTAACATAATCGGTTACTGAATTAAAGTGACTTTCAGGCTGAAGGTTAAGCAAGAGTGTGGAAACAGCTTCTTCTGTGTAAAAGCTCAACTTCAATGCCTACTCTCCAGAATTATAAAGACTACAACACAAAATTACATCTACAGTTAGTTGTAACATTTACCATCTTCATGCTACGGGAGAATAGTATCTGTTAATGGCATCCTCAAAAATCATTATTTTATGTACATATGGACAATTTTTTTTCACTGTTCCAATGTGAACACACTACATACTGAATCTGATGACAATTAGTATATAGTGTACGGATTTGGTGCACACCTACTGCACAGGTTAACACTAAATGTAAAGATCACAAATAAACAGCAATGCAGCATCACTGTCTCACATTGCTGAAGAGCTCAGCAGCCTGTTCCAGCAACCCCACCAGGCCGCTCTCGGTGAAGTAGCGTCCCGAACACACACCATCCTCATCTGGGGACAGGATGTCATCAGACACCGCCGACTCCTCCAGCACGTTGGGCGAAATGTTCTGAAGACAAAATCAGTCAGCCGATCAATCAATTAGTGTCCTTAATCAAATAATCAGTCATGTGGCTGGCTTTAAAAGGAGATGTCCTACAGTGGGAAATTGAACTAATTTGATGAACATCCAATCAATGACCCGCTGACTGCTGCAGGTTAAAGTGTCTTGTACCAGAGTGCCACACAGGTCTTGTGTGTGACACAGCTCATCAATAATACCATTAGCTCTGCTGTTATAACTCTTTTCAGTTTAGGGAGACAGACTATCCACATGCTCCCACAGGAGCATATACTGTATGCCTGTTTTCACCCCTTCATCTTCAAAGGCATTGTGTTAAGGAGAGCTACCAGAGGACCATATTTATATGATGACCTTAAGAGTGTACAGCTCCCCCCTCTGGAAACACACAAACTAATTTGGTATGTTGTGAAGCGGAGGCTTTGACTCCATTCAACAAAATCACCAACAGCCACAACAAACAAATAATAAATGCTTATTTTGTGTGGCTGTAACTGATGCTTTTTTTTCTTGCTTTCACTCTGAACACACATTTGTTATTAGTGTGTCTAGATATATAAGAAGTGGATGAAGATGGATGGTGTCTAGATATATTTCTATATGGTCTACCTGGAAGGTGACACTGCCAACAGGCAGGTACTTGTGATCCTCCAACATGCTGAGGTACTCGGCCACCAGGGCAGCAGCGTGGACCAGACACATAGCCGACTCAGTGTAACACTTCTTGTTGTTGTGTTTCTCTGCCATATTCTGCAGCCAGGTCAGACGGAGGTCAGGAGATGTCTGGTAGCCCTTCGCTATCCTGGGAAGGGGAGGATAAAGGAGAACATTTGTTAGTTTTTCCTCTCCCTTTTCTGTTATGAGGTAAAAGCCTAAATGATATTAAAGTCCCTTTCACAAGAACACCTTGGCAGAGAGGGTGACATAAAAACAAATTTAACAATAAATACAAGACAGAAAACATTAAAGCAGGCTAAGAAAACTGCCATACTCTGTACAAGAAGACATAAATATACAGGTAGTCATCCAAATAAATAAGAAGCAAATTAAAATCAAGTGGTGGGTAAAGATATTGGTTAACTGCAGATGACATTAGGTATATTCTGTATATGTTAGTGACTATATTTATGTCAATATATTTTTGTATAAACTCAGAAAAATGCACAACTTTAATTACAGTATGTCTCTATATGAGAAGCAAGAAATTGTGAGCACAAGATTGAGTGTGAAAAATTAGTGGAATAGTAGGTTTTATAGGCCAAAAAATAACGGAAAATGTTTTCCTCTTCAGAGAAGAACTGAGGATCATTGTCCTAATAACATGGAAATAAATCTGTATCACTCTGAATGGATTTATTTATAAAGCAGGTGAGTCACTGTACTATATTTACAAATGAATTCAAACATCTGGAGACCAAATGTCTTTTGACCTACAGTATGTGTGTTTGGAACCTTGAAGGTAAGTGTTGAGATGAACGTAGGTAAGTGTGCAAGTGTGTAACCTTCAGTGCAGCTGTCAGACACTCAGCAGGTGAGTGGGAGCAAAACCCAAACAGAAACACACATGATAAATGATACACGTAGGCGACATTAGAGCATGTTGAAGGAAAGTCCCTAAATCAACATACAGTGCATGTATGCTCTCTTTGTCTCAGTGTTTCCCCTTCATGTTCTCTCTCTTTCTCTCTCTCTCTCTCTCACACACACACATTTTGCATTTGCATATACACAAAGCCAGAACAGAAGACTAAACTGCTACCACATGGTTACCATAGTGAGGCCAGCAAATAGAAGGAAAACAGCCCAGACCACAGAGAAATAGGAACCAGTAGCATGACATAGAGTGATGAGAAAGAAGAGAGGCGAGAGTGAGACATTAAGAGACAGACACTGACAACAGACAAAACAAGGAGATGGCCTTTTATCTAAGATACTTTTTTATTTCTCACCTGTACATGAGGTCCATAAGCATCTCAGGATCTTCCTGGAACTCCCTCATTTTTACTGTGTCTGACAAAATACTGTTAAGGTTTCTCAGGAGCTCATCCACCTGAAAATAAAGGCACACACAAGAGGCAGGCATGATGTGACAACAGGATTAATATTTGCTATGTAATACAGAGGTTGTGTGTTTGTGCTTATGTGCCTTATTCTATACCTGTGAGGGCAGCGGGGTGTTCTGCATCTCAGTGTCCTCCTCTGCATAGGCCAGGATGGTGCGCAGCGAGCGTCGTAAGTATTCCTCTTGGAAGTCTGATGACTTGCCCACCAATGAGGCTAGAGACATGGTGACCTGCATCTTCACTCTTGAGAAGTTCTGATGAAGACAAAGGGAATCTCAGTGACTATCAGTGTTGAACATTTTGCAGTGTTTATTATATAAGACAAAGAGTAAATTTCTGATGTGAAAAGCTGAAATTCATGTGACTACATTTTTCCATACACCAATTTGAAAACTTTTTTCCTTTTGATGTATTTTCTGCAAACTAAAGAAGTAAAATGCAATATGCACTCACCAGCCACTTTATTAGGTACACCTATACAATTGTATGCACTTCAATGTAACACTTCCACCTTAACATCTGTTTACGAAGCTCAAAATGTTTAAGTTTTTAATGAAATTGTCATGAATGTATAAATTTAATTATTATTATTATTGTCAGCTCAGTTCTCTATGTGCTTTAGGTTTCATAATGTTCTTTAAAAATGTCCTACAATATACATAACACAATTTACCTCTTATTCTTACATATAGTATATCACGGCGGCACAGCAGCACGGAGGTTAGTACTGTTGCCTCACAGTGCTAACCACCGCAGCAAGAAGGTTCCAGGTTCGAGCCTGGGCCAACCTGGGACCTTTCTGTGTGGAGTCTGCATGTTTTCTCAGTGCCTGTGTGGGTTCTCTCCAGGTACTCCCACAGTCCAGAGACATTCAGCTTAGGTTGACTGGTGGCTCTAAATTGCCCGTAGGAGCGAGTGCGTGGGTTTGTCTACATGTCAGCCCTGTGATAGACTGGTGTACCCTGCCTCTTGCCCAATGACAGCTGGAATAGGCTCCAGCCCCCCCCCTCCTGTGATACCAGAATATTTTTGTAAAATAAACATTCATTAAAAATAAAAATGTTTACATGCTGTATTTTGTTACATGAATGCATATTTGGAATAATGTTGGACCTTTGAACATTTAATGAAAAGGTATCCCTGAGTGCAAAAGCATTTTCCAAATCAAGCCCCCCCCCTTTTCTCGTCTCGTCGTCCTTCTACTACCTGTTCAAGATAACAGGTCTGACAAACACCCCTCCATCTTCTGTGTGTATGTGTGACAGAGTGTGCGCTCGTGTAAAAGTGCGAAGTCCCATCTATCTCCAGCATGACCATCTAAGCGGGAAATGATCTCCCATTAGCAGAGACATAATCACCCATGGATCATCTCTATGGCCCCATTCTGTTCAACTGAGCATGGAGCCAGAGCCTAACCACCCATCACTGGCCACTCAGTGTGTGTGTGTGTGTGTGTGTGTGTGTGTGTATGAGAGCGAGTTTGTGTGCTCAAAATTAGCCTCAGTAATAGTGTAAGTCAACACATCTCTCAGCTTTTCCTCCGTATCCAACCCTTTTCTCCCAGCTCTCTCTCTTCCATCTTTTTCATAAATGCACAAGTTTTAAGCACAGATATCCGTTTTTTTAATCATTTGTTTCATTTCAGGAAATAAAAAGTCTGGAATTTTCTCTTTTTATTACCACAGTCTAATAGTAAAAGATGGTGAGAGGAAAGAGACATGTGACACAAGGAGAGCAAGACAGGCTGGATGAAGGGCTAAAAAATAAACAGAGTAAACTGTGAATGAATGAGTCACACAGCTGCTACGCTAATTCAGATCACAGCTCGCTCTGTATATGCCTTATAAACAAACATGCGCTGGGACACGCACAGGGGAAATACTCTATTTAAACTGATGATACTGTGTGTGTGTGTGTGTGTGTGTGTGTGTGTGTGTACCACAGACTAGTGCCTGACTTTGATTAAAGTGTACAGAGACTGTAAACACAGGAAATATCAAGAGCAACAGCAGTTATCGATCCAGCAGGGAAAATGAAAGAAAGTACTCTATCTGAAACATCCCTTCCTACAGATCTGTCTCTTCTCAATTTTCTTTCCCTTTTCACCTCTGGCAAAAACACTCCTCTATCCACATCATGATTTCCTTCTTCCCATTCCCACATGCCCATATCCTGAAACACACACACACACACACACACACACACACACACACACACACACACACACACACACAGAGGTTGTCATTGGTTAAAGAGGGGTAGGAACATGGGGAGGCAGACTGTGACATATCTCTGTGCTCTCTACTCCGAGACACATCCTTCAGCAGAAACTTTCGGCGCCGTGCTCAAAATAGATATGGAAAAGACATTAAAGCCCAGCAGGAGAGGAAAAGTGCAGAGGATAGAATAAGGTGAGTGTGAATCCCTGCTTCTGTGTGTCTTCATGAACAGCATGAACATGTATCACAAGCTATTCTGAACCGTTATGGGCACTTAAATTAAATTTAATTTATGACATAAATAATTTAATCCATGACATAAATGCAATTTCCTCTGCAAGCTGAGATGTTACATAAGGTTTTATCTGACAGAGAGGTAAGACAAGCCTGACATTTTCTTTGTTTGTGTGTATCCTTACAGCCCATTAGAACATAACCTCAAAAACATTGTGCTTACACTGGCATTACTGTAGCTGTATCTCATGATCAGGTAGAGGGTGGCACAGGCCTGGCTCCTGTTCTCATCTACAGGACTGCTGCAGTACTGAAGCACCTTCTGGCACAGGTCTGCACACTGCTCTGCCTCCTCCTCAAACAACAGGTCTCCAAACTGAGCGCACACACACACACACACACACACACACACACACACAGAGAGAGAGGGGGAAGAAAAAAAAAAAATCAGATACACATGCACATATGCATAAATAATTCTGGCTTATATCAGCAGTTTGCCACCCCCACAAACAAATAAAAACATTTAATTTAGGCACAGACAGTGTTCATGCAAACACCTCATCCCACATGCCGCCTCATGTACCCTTACAATTGTAACCACACACACACACACAAACGTATATTAAAATGAAAATACCTTGACAATAAGCGCTCTGAGTGTGCTGAACGTGTGAGAGAGAAAAGTGGTACTCTGGTTGCAGGTGAGAGAGTGGAGTATCACCTTCAACACCCCACCAACCACACTGTCCTTACAGTCAGCCAGAGGCAGTGCCTGTACACGATATGGAAAAATCAACAAATCATATGAGACAAACGAAAACATCTGCAGGTTCACTGGGAACCCACTTGAAAGCAAATGTAAATGTTTAACCTGCAAAATGCAGTCTATTATATTTTTTCAAGCTAAGACTGAAATGTGTGGCGAGTACATTAAGCCATCTTTGTATTCTATGAATTGAATGTTTGTGTTCAGTCTCAGCATTAGCTATTGCATTCAACCAGCTCTCTGCTCCGTTTTATTCACCGAGTGATTAAATACACTGCATGGTATTTCTCTGGTTTGGCTTTTTTCCAATTCATTGTAAATAAACACCCAATCAAGAACTTTATTGGCATCTCAATTATGCAAGCATAAAAATAATTTTTTTTTTTTTTTTTAAATTGGGTGATAATTTCTTGTTGACTTTCACTTCCCTTTACCGCTACTAGGCATTATGAAGACTTTAAAATATAGTGGAATTTAATATATAATCAAGTAAAAAAAACAACAAAAAAAAACTACATTCAACCACATATTAAGCTTGACAAAGTTAGTAGTATTCATTGCACGACTGGATAATATGGTATATCCGTACTGTATGTATGGACCAGTCCATGTAGTGCTGGAAGATACTACATGGGTCCAGGTAATGAACAGAGTGTTTTCTGACCTGGACGATGGTCTCCAGCAGGTCCAGCACAATTAGGTTTGCTTCTGTAGCCAAGTTCCCACTGATCAGAGCCTCCTGGTCCAACTCTGCTTTAGTCCTGATGGAAGGTGGTAAAGGTGAGACAGGCATTGAAAGTGAGAAAAAAAGTTGGGGAAAAAAAAACAATTTAAAAAAGGAGGGGAGACAGCAAGATGGTGCAACAGGTTTCCGGGTTTGAACCTCGTGGCCAACCAGGGCCTTTCTGTGTTGAATTTGCATGTCTCCCCATGCCTCCCACAGTCCAAAGACACGGTTGACTGTAAGTTTCCCCTAGATCGGAATGCGAGTGTGTGAGTGGTTGCCTGTCTTTGTGTGTAAAACCTCTATATGATAAGCAATATACATATTGGGTAGATGAAAGAAAGATAGGGAGCAAAACACTGGGAAGCAGACACAAAGCTTCTAACATACTTGTCCTGTTTGTCATTGGTCTGTCTCCACTGAGTCAGATCTTTCCTCCAGCGCAAGTTCTCTCTCTGGCCCATGGTCCGATCCGTACCTGTCATGTGATTCAAAAGCAGCTTATCAATAAATAAGAAAGACTGGTGATAAAACTATTATGCACATTTACTAAAGCACAGATTACTGTGTATATAAAACTGTGCCACTGGAATCCATGCAGTCTAATAGATGGATTACCAGTGTGTTTTATGAGAAAAGATTTATTGGTGTGCAAGAAGCAAATGAGATGACTTAGACTTGCTTTTTCTTGATTTATAGTACTCCTACAGTATACTCATATTTAAAATACCAGATATCAGTCGTACAAGAGGCCTGACTAGACAGACTGTGCAACATGAAGCAGGTTCTTACTATGACTTGCTGACAGCACATTTTTAAAATACTGATATGATTGTGAAAATCTAAGTGGTTTTGTCAGTAGCAAATGTGCACAACTTTGAAATATGACAAATCATAATGTGACAGAAAAGTAATTCCAAGTTGTGTTCCCTAAAGTGCAAGGAAATACACGACCACACTACCTCCAACTCGTTTCATCATTTCCCCGCGGGCACCCATTCCTCTCAGCAGGGCTTCTTCCAGCTGCAGCTTGGCGTGCTGAGATTTCTGTAAGGCCTGTGTGCTCACTTTGTCACTGCTCTGCTTACCCTAAAAACATACAGTTAGATCATCATGGAAGGAATACTCATTATGATAAATACACATGGAGACCAATACAATACAAAAGCAGCAAAGTTTCCATACGTATCTATATAAAAATGAAATTAATTTAAATGCAAATGCACTGATGCATAACGAGTCAATAAATGGCCAAACTGACCCTGTACTCAAAGCAGGAGACACAGATAGTTAGGAGCTCCAGCAGCTTGTTGAGCTGCGAAGGAGGCATATCTACAGTCCAGCGCTGAATCAGACTCTTATCAGCATTCTTCATCACCCACAGGAAACACACCAACAGGTGGCGACTGGTATCTGCTGCCAGGGTGGCTATGGATTTACCTTGCTGGAGACAGGAGAGGAGAAGAACAGATATGCAGCATGATCTGTTTGTATACCTGACCAGAAAAGAGATGAAAACTATCCTACAAAACAGGATTTCAGTGTGTGGAGGTCAAATACTATATATATGTATATTCTGTGTTGACAGCATTTAATTATATCGAGTTCAGTATTCTAACATAAACATAACATAAAAGTCCGTAAAAGGAATGTTTTGAATGCAAAATGTGTTACAGCACAGTGAACGCCTATAATTTTACCATAGTTTAGCCTCACTGAGAAATGTATCAGTAAATCTGTCTGTGACAGTCTTCTGCTCTACCCATTAAGTTACACAGTGTACACACTGTAAAAAGTGTATCTTACTAACTAACTAACTAACTAACAGTAAATCATTCACTAGCTTCTCTAAAAACACAAGCATGTCTTTCACACTGGCTTTAGCAAAGTGTGGCTCTCGTTAATAGCTGTTAAATATACTGCAGATCAATTTACCTTCATTCGTGATGAATTGCTACTACAGAGGGCTACTGCTGCTTCACTGTGTGGCAGCTTTGATAAATGTAGCCATTAACCTCCTAGTGCTCTAAGTGTCCCACCTAGAATCTGGTTTCCAGATATCTGCCCCACAGCACAACAGAGTAAAACTGAGCAGAACCACAGTCAAATACATGTAGCATGAAATCAAAAACATGACTTGTTTATTTGAAAATATGCTGTTAAAAACCATTCCTGCCACTAAGGCTAAAATATTCAAATATTGTTTGAAAGGGAACTGCTTGAAAAAGAGGAATGAGCACCAACTCTGGCAGTCATGTTTGGATTTGTGATGGATGCTAGGCTGGTGGTTCAGTTGTGTGAAAATCTGTTTTTCTCACAACAGTATTTCATGTAACAACATACAAAGAACTGATTCATCTCTTGGAAAGAATCGGAGAAAGGGGAAGAGAATTGCAGTGTTCAGTTTTAGTGCATGTGTTGTTGGTGCAGCTACACTTGATGGATGTGTTTGTCAGAGAGGACGGCCCTGTTCACTTATGATGGCAATGCCTGCCCATCAACCATGTCCCACAGACACGTGTGTGTGTGTGTGTGTATGTGTGTGATTTTTCAGGATGGATGAAGTGTGTGTGTGGCTCTGACAGCTAATCAATTACCTCAGCACAGCTCACCTGGAATACTCACAGATACAGTCACACACACACACACACGTGCACTCGTGAACTTTTAAAAACAATGAAAAGCATAATACAACCTGTTACAACCTGATTAAGAAATTATTTTTACCAAGGACGCCATGGAAACGAGAACATTTCGTCCCAGTGTGTTGAAGGGGTTCCCGGCAATCGCCATGGCAACAGACTGATTGATGGGTGGGACAATTTCAAGGTCATCTTCTAGTCCGCCCGTCTTGTTTTTCCCACTGCGTGCGTCAGAAACTAAAGAGACAAACCCAGGATAAATATGTTAAAATGAAGAGGGAGGACTGTAGCACAAAAGATAAAGTTACAGCCTTAATGGCACAGGGGTTCTGACAGTTCTGTGTCTTTATCAGCGTTAAAATAGACACTGGAATCAAACATTAACACACAAATCTCTAGTTGCTGCTGTGTAACAAAGAAATATAGTTGGAACATTGGCAACACTGAGCACTAACAAATTGATAGTTACAGTTTATCATTAAGGACAAATAACCACAGGTCCACTTTGTTTATTGTTAAAATACAATAGGCTTTTCCAAAAGGCAGCAAGCTAACCGTATCAGCAACTCCTTAGGGTGGGCATATTTTTTTCTGCCTCTAAAATCAATGTCTTGTGCACAATTTGCAAGTTTATGGTTGAGAAAATGCAAATTGTGTATTTTAGTCTACCACGGACAAGCTCAGTCTGTATGTTCTCTATGTGGAAAAAGAAGGCAAGGTGCTCAAAAAGAGAATTAAGCACATGTAATCGAATGAGCATGTATGCAACATATTTTTTCCATGTGGTGTGTTACCAGTGAAGTCCAGATAGTTGGTGGAGTCAATGATAATCCCCACCAGGGGGAGGTAGAGAGCGGCCACCTTGGCTCTGACCTCAGGTTTAACACAGCGTTGGTCAAGGTCATGGGAACACAACAGGCTGTGGATGGCATTGATGGCCTTTCTCTGGACCTTTCCCCTGTGAACACACACATATACAGATACTTTAAATGTCTTATCTGAATCCACCGATTTCATTACAAGTAAACATTTACAGAGCTTCTGTTTGTAACTTGCAACAGGAGACTTAAGCGAGTATGTATGTCATGATTATGTCTTCAACTCCACCATAGAACCAACTGCCCAATTAATTGATATATGTCAATTCTCAGCTCTGCAGGAGCCTAGAAGATAAGTAGGTACCACTTTTTATTACAGATTTCTAATAGTAAGGTAGAGGGGGAGGCAATATCTTAGGAACAACTTGAAAGTTTCTGTGTTTTCATACCCCTCTGACTCCATGTCCAGGGCAGCACTGAGTTCTGTAAGCACCAGACCGGTGAGGTAGTGCTGCTGCTTGAATTCCTGAGAAAGCTCAAACAGCCCTAAGATCCTCTGCTGCTCCTGGAAACTACATGAACCGGAACTCTGAAAAGCGTAAACAAAATTAGGGTAAGGTTTTTGCTTAATACAAAGCAGAGTACTTTTTAAACAGTTCTTCAAAAACTATGTCATGCTTTACGGACTAAATTCCCATCTAATCTCCTTTATCTCAGAGCTTCCTAAAGTCGGCTTTTCAATTCTCCTTAAAGCTGATTTCTATTTCTCATTCTACAAGTTTTGTTCTCCTAGACAGCAAACACCCCAATATGTATACAACATTTTTTGTACCTTAGTGAGAAATTTAAGAAGAATACTTAAAGTGTAAATCCAAATTGTGCGAATGCAACAACTGCAAATATTAATTGACAAGTGGGCAAACCTGTGAGGAGATGGAAGGACATGGTGAGGTGGGGGCAGAGGCAGCGCTGCTGAAAAAGAGGCTCAGGTTGAGGTAGTGCTCATGACTGCACAAAATCTGCAGGAACTCCAGACGCATGCTGATCAGGGTTGGCATTGAAACACTTTTAGCTGACATCTAGAAGATAAATAGAGTGAAAATTTATCTTTTTTTCCATATAAAAGCAATGCAAACATTCACTAAAATGTCAAACCGTTTCAGAACAAAGACATACATGGGAAGAAAAAAAAAATTACTCTCCTGCAAGAAACGACTAAAGATCAAGTATTTAAAGACACAGGCTGAAAAGTTCTGGTTTGGTATCAGGGTTATTCTACCTGGTTACAGTAGTTCTTCACCAGCTGAAAGACAAATCCTCGGTCCATGAGTGACAGCAGGTCATAGAGGAAGAAGGCCAGGCTGATGTTGACTTTCTCTGCTTGCTCTAACTCCTAAAACAACAACAATCAACAAACAGTCATCAGTAAGCTGTACTGAGTGGATCTTGTCGAGCATCTAGCCGTGCCAGCTGAGCTTTTGATACCACAGAAGCAAATATAATTAGCACTACCAACTCCCTGTGGTTTGGAGGACACTGACAACATGTACACTCAGGCTGAAACTGCTCCCATTCAGCCCAGAGGAACAGAAGGAACACAAATGCTGCATTTTGCATTTGAAGGTTTGTAGTGGAAACTATATTGATTTGGTTGAGATGAGCTTAATTTATTGGCTTATTTTCATTTCCCTTACCTTTGGTTGTTTGACAAGGATAGTGCCAATCTCAGCTGTAACCACAGAAACAATGGTACTGATGTCATCTTTAAATCTGTCAGAGAAGCGACTTCTTCTAGGGACACCATACTTGTCCAGCTGAGACACATGCTGAGCCATACTTTTCACCTGTTTAAGCAATCGCACACAGAGCAAACACAAAATCATTAAATTGAATAAACTCCAAATAACATAGGAAATACCATTATCATGCCTTTCCCATCCTGATTTTTCATTCAGGTTAAGGTATGAGAGGGAAGGCGAGTGATAATACACTTCTAAACCTCCAAAAAGTGATAAGTTGTCAAACAACTTGATAAATTACTGACTACAGGTTTTTTCAAAATGCCCTTTTATGTATTACATTATAAAAATATCATTCATCTTTTAAGTTGTGTGGCCACAGGGTTATGTATTTAGTGTGAGTCATTTTTATTATATCACCCATTTATCATCAACACCAAAAGCAGGTGTTATCTTTTCTTTCATTACTAAAATCAAATCACACACCCCTTTTGCAAATATAAATAAATAAATAAATAAATCACACTAACCAGCAGCTCAAAGAAGAACCAGGCATATTTGTATGCGTTCTCTCTGCAGACCCCGGTACTGACAACCATCTGTAGGGCCAGCTCCTCATGAAAGTGCTGCAAGAGAGAAAATACACAGAGTATAGTGAGACATGGTTTCACTTTGGTAGCTGATGGAATAAACAGTATCATTTTAAATATGGTATTCTCAAGTATTATACTATACATCACTGGGAAATCCTGGCTGATCTTTGAGCTTAAAAAATATCCACCAAAACACACTGAGCATCAGTGCCGGTGCCCCCCCTTGTGGTCAGTAGTGGGAACTGGTGTTAATAGCTCAAAGGTATGAATATTGTTGAATGCACACACAATACTGACAGTGAGAAGCTGAATTCATTAGAAAAGGTCTTTTCTTTTTATCAAATTAAGAAGCTGGTGCTTTCTGTCTTTCAATATAAACACCACCAAGAATTGTGAATGGGATAATTACTGAATTCATTTATGCTTTTCACGGTCAATCCAGTGCGTCCACATTGCACATGAATGCTATTTACACTCACCGGTCATTTTATTAGGTACACCTGTACAATTGTATGCAACTCAAGGCAACACTTTTCCCTTAACATTTGTGTTTATGAGGCTCGAAATGTTTCAGTTTTTGGTGAAATTGTCATAAATGCATAAATTCAATCATACGTTTATTAGGGGTGTGATGATACAATTAGCTCACGAGATGAGACGATACTGGGTTCACGAGAACGAGACGAGATCTTAATGCTATTTTTAAGACATCTTCAATGACAAAATATATGACTAGAAAATAGTCTTATTTGACTGAAAGTCACATAATGCAAAACTGTGCAGGTGCATTTTAAAATGCTTTAACTAACTGTAATGAATGTTAATTCACTTCTACTTTGAGTATGAATTATCATATGCAGTAAAATACAAATCAATATGCAAGCACTGTAAAGGGTTTTGCCACAAAGTCATCTGACTGGCTTCTCTCCTGTAGGATTTCACAGGAGTCTCTTCACACATTATAACTGTGCATAAACTATGCATGAGCTTCTAACTTCTAATTGAAGCTGTGCGTGACCTTCTATGCTATTTTCACTCTCACTGCACTGCACCGGCTGGTGACATCATCCGGCAAAGGCACCGTGTTAGCCAATCACATACGGGGTACGCTCACCATAATAAACCTCATATAAAACATATAAATTAATATTATACATTTATGACAACTTCACCAAAAAGTGAAACATTTTGAGCTTCATAAACACAAATGTTAAGGCAAAAGTGTTACATTGAAGTGCATACAAATGTACAGGTGTACCTAATAAAGTGGCCGGTGAGTGTATATAAATAGCAATTTTAAAGTATTAAAGGCTAAATACAGAGTAAATAGGTTATTACCATGCTATACTACCACCATGACTTCTACATAATTGGATGACAGGCACATCTCCATTAAAATTATATAACTGAGACAGGCATCTGTTCTAAAGACCCATTTTAAATCTCCACTTCATCTCTGCTATAATAGACAGTAAGTAACTATAGCAACAATACACTGCACATCATGTTGTCTTTGTCTCTACATCATCTTTTGTTTTGTTACATTTGGAAACCTTGTCGTACATAACTTGCTTACAAATTACTATACAATTTAGCTTCATTAAGTGAAATTAAATATGTTTATCCTGAGCTGAACAACATTGCTGTGATCATATCATTTGAATATGTTTTGTGCCAAGTAAATATTTGCTGTTTCCCTCCAGTTACAGTAGGCATTGTGTTTTTCCTTGAGCACAGAGTGACAGCTTCTATGCTACCATCACAGACTATATATAAACACGGAGGCCATTTCGATGGCATATCCAAATGTGATTAGAGACTCAGTCATTGGTTCAATGACACTGTCTACACTGTCACCTCGTTACATCCTGAATTCAAATCTTACTGCTTTTATTTCCATCTTAAGGAGACAGTTGACCTTACCATTGAAAATCATTACAATCCACCAACATCAATTTTGTTTTGGCATGAAAACTCAAAATGCAGAATCAATGTCAAATCTGACAATCAAGGCTACAGAGGGAACCCGTGTGGTGGCAAGAAATAAAAGCTCAACGTTTTTTTACCTTTCTGTTAGAGGGCCTGGTGCTTCCTGTGGGGTTCTGGTGGTTGTTTACATCCACATAAGTGGACATGCGACTGCCTGGGTTGTTGAGACCCTGGAGAAAGAAACACACAGTTACTATCACATTAAACGTGATGGATGCTTTCATTAGAGTGGGTGTCTAGCGTTTTATTACAGCACCTAATGTACTGTGAGGATGAATAGCAAATGACTGTTCTGTTTGTATCAGGAAGCATGCTGGGATATTCACATACAGAAGTGTGTGTGTATGTGTGTGTGTCGGTATGCAAACCTTACAAAAGTAAAAAAAAACAAAAAAAAAACAGAAGAGGTTTACTTTATAAAACATTTCAAATCAATCCTAATTACCCTCTAGAGTATAAAGACATTAATTAGCAGTCTCTTTTGGGAGCTAGAAATCCAGGTTTTGTAAAGTGGAGTACCTGTTTTTAAAGAAATGTGGGAGATCTGTTTTGAGGAAACCCTCTGTACCTTGGCAGAGAGGATGTTTTTGACCTCAGCATCTTCATCAGAGGTGTGTGGACCGGGAATATCGGGGTTGCTGCTGCTGCGGATTTTGGACTGAAGGAGCATACTGCCAACTGTGGCTGCTGTGGCCCGACCCATGGTGCTGTAACGGCTCTCTGCTGAAGGGATACCACCTGAACAAAAGTGACATACAAAAAAAAGATGGCCTCTTAAAATAATCACAGCAAATATAATCAAAGGAAAAAGGACAACAGTGTCACTACCTGCATTCTGCATGTCTTGAGGAGGATCCGGCAGACGGAACACCCAGTAAAGGTAGGTCGCTAAGAGGCTGTTCCTGCCCTGCTGGTCCCTGATCAGCTCTTGGCTGTTATGAAGACTGTTGACAATAGACACCACTGATTCGAAGGCTATCTGGGCCAGATTGGCTGTAGAGCACAGAAAACTGTTATCATCAACAATATCACTATAGGAACATCATGACAAATAAAATTCTTTATCCTTAAACACTGCATTACATTCATGCTTTGCATTACAGTCAGTCAGTCAATGCTAAAAAAATTAGCTGATTAATGAATTTATCAGCAACAATTTTGATAAGTGATTAATAGATTCAATTATTTGTTAGGCAGAAATGTCAAACATTCACAGGTACCAGATACTCAAACATGATGTTTTGCAGATTTTTTTCTTTGCTGCTTTTACAATTTTAGCATGTTTGAGTTTTGTGTAGTTCTGTACACGCAGTAATATGAATTTTAAGCTGGTACCTTTAGCTCTGGAACATTTTTCACAAATGTTTGACATTTTACTTACTATAAAAAATGATTAAGACACAAAATTGTTGTTGCAGCCTTATAAGTGCAGTATTTGATCACAAGAGTCATAATGTCAGTGTCATTTACCTTTAAAAAAAAGTATATGCTATCTCAACATTCAATGACATGTAGAGGGTCTTTTAACTGGTCTGCTGTCACATTTTCTGTCTCCAAATTCACTCTACAGTCATGTGTAACTAGGGCTTCAGCTAACTACTATTTTCATTATTGATGGATCTGCTGATTCTTTATTTGAATACATACATTTCCAAATATGCAGGAGTTGTTATTTCTTTATAACACCAGTGTCAGCTTGAGTTATTTGCGTCAGTATTAATTCCTCACCGGTCTGGCCAGCGATGACCATTGGCTGCATGATGAGGGTGAAAAGTTTATCCAGCACCAGGTGGAGAAAGAGGACCAAAGGCTCTAAACTGGAGGAGGGCAGGGAGATGATACTGAGCTTTAGCTCATGCTCCAGCTTGTTCTCTGGAATCTTCTCATCCCTGACCCGTAGAGGGAATGTAGCTCCACCCTCCAGGGCATGGCAGAGGGTGAAGAAACGCTCCAGGTGGTTGTCCTGGTACAGGGAAGCGATGATTTGTTACACATTGTGATACTTTTATGGGAAGCAAAGAGATAAAAAAGCAACAACAGAATGAAGAATGAGATGGAGAGAAGCGACAATGTGCATCGAACGCTCCAGGGTGGATACTTGTAGTACGTGTGTGGACTGATACATAATCGTGCTGGAGGCAGACCAAGAGGGTAAACATCTTGTTGCTGCGTTTTGTGTGTCCAACATAACTCACCTGTGTGTGTACAGATGACACAGCCTGAATCTCGAGGTTGAAAAGTCCTTTGTGACCCTCCATCCACTTAACTGGAGGAACCTGAAGAGGAAGTTTCTATACAACAAAGACATAGGAAAAATAACTGACTTCTTTGTCTGTGTTCAGTTCTTAATATGTCTATAGCCTTTTAAGAATACTTGATTTATTTGCAAGAAAATTCTGGAGCCTTTACATAATATGATTTGAACAAACAGAATGTTCTTTTATGCCTCCACACCGACAACAGCCGTGGCCGGAGGCATTATGTTTTCAGGTTGTCAGTCCATTCCTCGAAGCCTTCACCATATATGGATAGACATATGTAAACTGCAACTTTACTGGTTGGCAGTAGGGTGGTAATTCTAGTTAAATGATTAAATAGGTAGAGCTATATACCTCGGGTGGGTGCAGTGAATAGTTGACAGGCAGCCTGTCCAAAATAATAGGCAGACAGAACTGGCCAGTCTGCAGTCGGTCATTATTCAGCATTGGCAGCCACTGGATCAGAAGCAAACACAAAGTTCAGTGTGTCAGCTATGAGCACTTTAACATCAGACACTGTTCTATGCTGTCATGTTGGAAAGCAAGAATTACCTTGATTCATCCAAAAATATAAAATCTTGCTTGATATGTTTGATTTTAAAGATACAGTAAAGACATTAACACAGATTTAATTTAGGTTCAAGATGTTGTATTCAGACACAAACAGTAAAGTCAAAAATCTTACAGAGTATCCGATGAGTGTCTCACAGTTGCCGCTTTGGTTCTGTTTCTGCTGGCAGCTGATGTGGTAGAAGGTGAAGAGCAAGTGATGTCTCTCTGTCAGATGGGCTGGGAGAGCCAGCTTCACTTCCTCATAGAAGTCTGGGGACCTGAGGGATGGCAAAATATTAAGCAACACAGAGGAAAAATGGGTGTGAACAAGGATGGACAAGGAAAAGCACAAGCCGGTGTGTAAGAGAGAATGTCAGGGAGGAACAGATTTTACCATACTTGGAGTATGGCGTTGAAAACTGGGGAAACACATACAAAAGCTCACTTCAACCATTGTATATATTACAAAAAAGAGCGATAAGAATTGTGCATAAGATGGGGTATAGGGATCACACCAATGGAGCTTTCATACAGTCTAAATTGTTAAAATTTTTCGATTTAGTGGGATATAAGACTGCAGTGTTTATGTATAAAGCCAGGAACAATTTATTACCTGGTGGAATTCAAAAACTATAGTAATAGAATTGATGAGTTTAAACATAAATATAAAGGTTTGTGTCAATTAAGATATATGCAAGAACAGGTTTAACGATTAATCAGGTGTAATATTGTGGGTGTGGTGTATGAATGTTAATACTATGTAATATTTTTACTTGTGTGATGTAGAAGATAATTATCAAAGTATGTAATTATGTAAGAATGTTAACAGTCTAATATTTTTTAGTATATCACTAGCGTGGTGTAGAACAAAATTATCTATGTAGTAATACTGCTTGCAAACCAATGATGATAAGATGATGTTAGGGGGTAGGACTAGATAAGTCTGACTTCTTCCTACTCCGTTCAAGGATGTACTAGGTATAAGCAAATTGATAATGCATTTGTGGATATGTGTGAAATTATGTGTGTTGACATATTGACTGTCGTTACATGTTTGAAAGAATAAATCAAATCAAACAGAGACAATGAGAGTTACTCAGACTGGTAATATGACCAAAAGAAGCCAAACAGATGTTACAAACAGTATAACGTAATTCAGTAATGTGTACTTGCTTGTTGTGGTAGGTAACAGGGGTATAAACTTCCTGCAAAAATTCAGGGCCACTTGATTTTCCAAAAATGACCTGGGAATAGACAAGAGGGGGGAAACCACAGGAGAAATAGGACAAATCAATTTCATTATTATAACAGTGCTGTGAGTCGATAAATCATAAAGAGAGACGCTCACAGGCAGCGAGCAACTAGGGTCCTCTCCGCACATAAACTGGATTTTGATGGTGATATTTCTTGCTGAAGTCAGTCTGTTGACTAAGTTGAGCCTCTGGGGGTAAACATAGAGCAGGTTCCTACAGAGCCAGAGGAAAAGAAAAGGTGCCAGAGAGACTTTGTGTTTAATTAATAGATAATTAATCCAAACCGCTCCTATAATATCAAATAAGGCTGTTCCAATATACATCACTAGATGGCACTGTCTGCACAGCAACATCTTAATAAGGTACTGTAACAAACATACAACTAGTAATTTACTGTGACCTTCTGTGGTTTTAATACACTATCATCTGTCCTGAAACCTGAGATACAAAGAGACACTGCAGATTCCACTGAACAAATGCTCAGAGAATGCTAGTATGTAATTACCATGCAGAGGGCTTGTTCACACCTGAAGTTACTCATGTTTAACTACTGTACATGCAAAACCATTTTAGAGTAGAATTAAACCTGGGCTTACACACGAAGTGTCATTATTGTTATACTAAGAAGAAATTTCACAAATAGCACTGAATGGAAATACCTAAATACAGGCACTAGACTAAAAGAAGCAAAGCTGATATCACCTCTTGAGTGACAAGTACAGCATGACTAAGAGCCAGCAAACTTGGTTAATACCTCAAGCAACAGTATGAATCATTTGTGACTTTGGTGAAGATCAGATCGTAATTCATGGCCAGTTTATGCAGAAAACCAGGAAATTGAAAACAGTGCCATCACTTTTTCTTGCTACTGTATATTACATCCTCCAACACACCTGTAAATATTGTGAGGGACATAAACCTCACTGGATGGGAACTCCAGCACCTCTTTGACTGGCAACACAGTTTTCTCAGGTACTGGTAGGAGAGGGATGAGCTCAGTGGACAAACATCCCTGTGGTGTGGTGTGGACTGGGGACATGTCCAGTTTTATGAACCCTGGAAGATATGAGATAAACCCGGTTCAGACATTAGTCATCTACAAACACCACGTTCACATCACAGGCCTTATGCTCAATCCTGCTTTTTGTCAGATCCAGTCTTTTTGTGTTGATGGTCCAAATTCATGTTTGTAAGTGACATGTCTCCAGCTCTGGTGTAAACCCTGTTGAGATCCTGAATTGCCACTCGTGCACAGATTTAACTGAAAAGTTAGTTACATGCATACAACAATAACAACAATGTCATTTGTTCAACAGTCAATTCCCTGAAAAACTGCTTGGTTTAAATGTGTTCCTTCCAGTTTGGCTTGATGAGAACCTTCTCCATGAATGTGAAACAGAAGTAAAACATCCTCATCTCTCCACTGACCCCCGTACATGTTGCTGCTCTCCTCCCAGGATTATTTTTACCAGTCAGAGAAGGGCTGACACTGAATGATGTCAACAGGAGATATGCACATGCACATAAGAGTGAGATGCTGAAACAAAACCACATGAATTCTAATCTGACCGTTGCGACAGAGGTCACATAGTCAGAAGTCTGACATGAATCAGACTTCATACCACATACGCAAGTGCCCCAGATCTGATCTGGGGGAAGAAAAAAAAAAAAAAAGAAAAAAAAAAAATCAGATTTGTTTTGTTCGCACATCCGTAAAGAGATCAGATCTGAGTCTCTTGGAGAGAAAAACATTTTTTTAAAATCAAACTTAAGAGTCACTTCAGCAAGTAGTCTGAATGTAGCATATGTGAGAAATACCTATTGTGTGTGTATGTGTATTATTATTATTGTTATTATTATTATTGGCGACAGGTTTGGACTCACCTTAGACTGTAAAAAGTCCTCAACTGGTGTTAAGTAGTTTTTCCATTGCCCATGATGAACAACTACTTCTTCAGTTAATAAAATAAAATAAAATCTCAGAATGTGTTTGAACATGATGAGAGCTGACCTGGTATCGCCTTGATTCTCCTCTGTGGATTGGAGGTTTTCTTGATCTCAGCCAGGATCTTCAGCAAGTCCTCATCACTCAGGCGCTCTCCCTCCTGACACACACATATTCGTTTTCATTCCTCATGGGGATTTTACATTGACTTACATTAATCTCCTGGACACTTACCCGAACACCACTACTCGCCAGACCTAACCTTGCTGTTACCCTCACCTCACTCTAATCTAAAACTAAGGCTTCACGCTATAATTCAATGATTTACGTGGTGGGGACTTGCATCTGGGCCAAATCCCAACAATATCAGTGTGTAAACAGGCTTCAGTCCTCACAGTGTGAGTAATACCAGGTGCACATGCACGCACACATAAAGCACAGTTAACTACTGAGTGATAAAAAAAAAAAAAAATGTTTTAATGAAAAGCCAGGGTGACCAGCACCAAAGGATCAGAGTACCAGGATGTCTGCATAACAGAAATGGTTTTAACAGTGAAGCTACTGATTTCTATTTTGTTTTCTAGAAACATTTGTCCAAGGTGGATTTTTTATGGTAGAAACATTACTAGGACCCGATGGAATGCACAACATTTTGCAGAGCATGCCTGAGTAAAGAATGAGACAAGGCCATGCTATAACCACGAGTTAATGCATCTTGTATCGCAAGGAAATACTAGATTTGTCTTTCTGTGTGGGTGGTGGTCTGACCTGTTTGAAGATGGGGCTGATGGTGACGGTAGCACGTTTGAAGGCAGAAATGTTACAAAATTGATCATCAATCCCACTATAACGTTCAGAGTTCCTCCTGGGAAGCTGTGCTCTCCGGTCAATGCTGCTGGATTTACCTGGTGAAACAAAACGTAAAAGTCATGGATCAAATGATACAGACACACAACAATACACCGTCTCAGGAAATACACACACAAAGTCATTACAATAAAGACACCTAAAGAACCAAGCAAGGACGCACTAGCACACACCTCCTTTTAAGCTGTCAGAGTCTGTGATATCGTGGTCTATCGCAGCAGTAGAGATGACGTCCATGATTTTAACTGTTGCCCAGGCAAAAGGCATGCGATACCGACCCAGCCTCTGGCAGAAAGCCTCCGCCTGGCCTCGCAGCTTCTCAAGCTTGTCCTTGTTCTAAAAATGAAAAACCAAAAAATAAAAAAAATTAAAAAATGGCTAGAGGTGGTTCTATACTCAAAGTGCATTAAAAATGTACACTGTCTTTTTTTGAGATTTGACTGTTAATGACACATACAGTAATTGCTATGGCACATTACCTTTGCAGAGTCACATTCCCTCAGTGTCATATAGGGCTCGACACAGTCACTGATCTCACCCTGCTGGAGAACCTTTTCAATCTAAAAAACAGACAGGATGCACACAAGCAGCTCACCATTAATCAAAATCTGCAGTTTATTGGTAAAAGCACAATATACATGGCAGCAAGAGCAAGCAATGCAAAGATGGTACTGCACTGAATTGTGGGGTATATACAACTGATTAGGGAGTAAAACTAACTCATTTAAAGGCAGGACAAAATTCATGTTACTTCTGTTACAGTACATATTGTTGTTAGCATTTTTTCCATAGATGCTACAGATTATTCTTTATTGATTATTACCTTGATGACCAGGTAGATATCTGGGGAAGGGTAGGTGATTGAGAATATGGCGGATTTAGCCAAAGCAGAATTATTCACATGTGGCGTGTGAGGTTTCAAGAAGTTTTTAAACTGGTCTGAATTCAGGTCACAGTAGAAGTTCTCCGATATCTGGAGGGAAACAGAAATGAAAGGTTTTAAAGCCAGAAACATGTTTTTTACTTTTTATTTTTACTCTTCTTATTTTATGTAAACCAAATACTGATCATGGATCAGTGATCTGTTCAGTCCACTGCTGTTTGTCTACTCGCCTCCCTAATGGCCTCTGGCCAGGAATACGGCCACATGCCCAGGTCTGGCCTTGTCTGGTGTATGCCATGTGATATTTTTCACTGGAAAGCCATTAGCCACTCTCTTTCATTCTGCTCATCCCATAGGGCCTCTTATACAACGAGTGACCACACCAAATCAATCTTCTAGACAACCAACCCTGCCCAATATGTTAACCGGAATCCTTCAGACTTGTGTCTATGATCAGATTATTTACACTTTACTTACACTGGGGAAAGTAGTCTAGGTCATAATAAGAATCCTTAAGAAAGCTAAACTCCTGCAAAGATATTATGGTGAAAATGACCCTGCTCACTTTAACATGAGGCCCACTTCCTGCCAGAGTGAAGATTTCAAAAGATTGCAGTGGAGGAGTCAACCTCTTACTGACAAATGGCATCTTGGAATAACAGAAATGACTTCTCATTAACCAAAGCCAGCAAAGTTAAAGCGTTAAATATGCTTCATGTTCCAACTGAAGAGGAAAAAAACACCCACATCAAACTAAGTGCAAACGCTCACCAAGTTGTCATTCATGGTCAAGTATAACAACATCCAGTCATCTTTCAAACCACTACTTGTGAATGCAGTGAGACATGAGGACTGTAGTAGCCCTCTTTCACATGACATTTTTGTCATAGCACAGAGGCAACGTTTCTGACTCACTGACACATATCGTTTAAGAACAAATGCTTAACATTTTCTAATGGGACACGCTTGCAACCAGCCCTGTGTTGCCAACTTAGCAACCTTATCACATGATCTAGTGCCTTTTTAGACCCTGAAAATACCCTCCATTACAGCTCCATGAATCTGCAGTCATCCTGCTCTTGGTTAATAAATGCTTTTAGTGATGACAAAACACGTAGCGACAGAAACCCGCTGCAATGTGAAAATGCTGTGATATACTTGTGATCACTCTCTGGGTCCTCCCACAGAGCTGCAGTCACAGTCCAGCAACACTTGGCTTGTCTAGTCTTGTTGAGCAACAACAACAAGAGGACTACTAAATGCCTGTAGTAAACTCAGAGAGAAATAGACTATACTCAGCTCTGTTTACTGTGAGAATATATTTTTCTGTTAGCCGGTCTACGCCAACATTCATGAATCTGATGTCAGGCCATTTGTTGAATCAAATCCTGTGTACTGCACCTTGATGGGTGGACCAGAGAGACATGGCTAATAACTAGAGGATTATATGGATTTATATGAACATCTGCTGCAGATTTCACAGATGTGAAATGACAAAACTGATGTGAACACAAAACCAAACACAGCAACTGCATTCCCATGAGACAGCAGTAAGGGATGCAGAAAAACTGAAAAGTGAGACAAATATGCAGCAGAAATGTGGCAGACAATAAAATCTAACACTAACACAGAAGAAAGAAAAAAAGAAACGAGTGTACTGAAAAGAGCTGCGGAAAAACTTTAGAGATAAATGGGTCAGGAGCAAATGCAACGCAAGCTTCACAGATTCTCCTTCATTAAGAAAGACAAACATTTATTAACTCTAACAGTCTGGCAGTGACTCTACTCAGTGTGACTGGCAGGAGATGGTATTGACCTCCACAAGGACACATGATAAAATTAGTCACATTCACTGTGAGAATGTGACACTTCAGCTCTGACATCAGAAAGGAATGAAGCAGGAGTCAAAATGTTCTCGATTTGTAGCATCTTCTTTTAAAAAATATGTAAAAGACGCATGGCTTACACTATCTGATGTCCCAAGATTGGCTTACACGTATACAGTCTGTTTTTAAAATAACAGGGCACTGTTTTGCCCCATCTTAACTGACCGACAGTCCTGGAGATAAGCTCAGCAGCATTAGTGCAGCTAACATAAGGGCAAAGCCAGAGGCTAAAACCGTGTATCATCTAAGAGATTGGTGAGCACTTAAAAACAACCTAAATCCTCCACCAGAGGAGAGAAAAATGAAGACATCTAGCTGTGTAAGTCCACAGAAAGCATTCAAACAGCCCTACATCAAATTGGTTGACTGGAAAATGGGGTGCAGTATTAATAGTAATAGAAGCAAAATATGACAACGCCCAGGGCCATAAGCAGTGAGGAGGACATAAAACCATGTAGATTACACCAACTCCTCACTGAGTTGTAATAAGAGATGAGTGTTACTCTCTGTTAATGCAAAAGTCATTATCTTTTTTCAGATTTTGCTACTATAGGTATTAGGTAATGCTTTCATTCAAAGTGCTTTACACTTTGCCTCTCATCCATCCACTGACACACACTCAGACACTCATGGTGGCAAGCTGCTTTGCAAGGAACTGACCCAGCCATTGGAAGCAAATAGGATTCCAATAGCTTACCGGTATTTATATACCAATCTGACCATTTTACATACCAAACTGAGTATGTATAAAAAATATAAATTAAATGTAAATGTTGTGGTTATTAGCTGATCATGACATGGTACAGACCAATGTACACAATACTGATGTAAATAGGCCTTTGCTTATGTATTAGGCTGATTATTTACAATAAGAGTGATATCAAGGTCTAATCTTCTGTTTTGATTTTAAATAGTTCCGTTTCCTTTTGGCTACACTTGGCCCACAGATTTCAACTGTAATACAACTCAGTATATTGCTGTTTCTGTAACTTACAACCGTAATACCTGCCCTCAGTATTGCCATCGCATCAGTTACAAGCACCACAAAACTATATAATGTAGTGAGTATACAGTATGTGATAAGTCACATATATATAATAAACAAACAAGAACTGAGGACAAAAAACAGACCAAGTTACAAATGTCAAATGAAAGATATCCTTACAGTCTCCATAAGCAGGTTACATGTCTCACACACATTTAGCTTCAGAAACAACCTGAAGACAGCATTAGAAATTTAGAGAATTACTATGAATTTCATATTCCAGTGAAAGTTGTCTTACCTTTTTCTTCTCTTTCAGATCAAACAGAGCCATAGTTGCAAATATGGGCTCAATGTCAATCTCAAACCTTTAAAGCCAAGAAGGAAAAGGGAAATTTTTATTTACTAATAGCAATGAAGACAAATACTTTACAGTACATAATCAGCATTAATACTCTTTTTTCCCCCTTTTACTCAGGCTGTGTTTCTGGTTCTATTATATGCCTAGAGATTTTTTTCTTAAATTGGGAAATAGCAAAATGTATTACAGTAAGCAATGACATGTTTGGACTGAGAGTTAAAGGACAGGGGTGAAGCTGCCAAACCACCACAAGCAGAGAAAAGAGTTCAACTCAAACATCTGAGGGAGTTCAAGAGTGAAAAACAGAACTATGTGTTGGTGTCTGCGCATGTGTGAGGGAGTGTGTGCATCTTTCTATGATTTTGCGGACAAATTTTTAGCTTGGTACTATCATTTTGTGGACATTTTGGCGCTGTGAAGACATTGTGGCTGATCTTCACATCTTCAAAAGGCTGTCTGAGGACTTGATTTTTGGGTTAAGGTTAGAATTAAAACTTAGATTAGATTTGAGTTTAAGGGTTAGGTTAAGCTTAGGCAAGTTGTAGTTATGGTTAAGGTTACTGTTGGTCTCAGGGAATGTAAGTCAGTGTAGGCCCCATGAAGGTCTACGTGTGTGTGTGTGTGAGAATGAGAGAGAGAATGATAAAGAAACAGAAAGAAAATCCCAGAAAGAGAGGGAGGGACAGTGATTTTCTGGAAAACAACAACCACTACACAGCACTCCTCCACCCTCACACACTCCTTTTTGAAACAACTACTCAGTCATGATTCCATGTGACATGGAACAATGCACTATATTTTAAATGCTAAGCAGAAGATCATTTTCATAAACAAGAGGGTGTTGGAATAAGTAACCTTTAACCCAAGTAACTAACTGTTCCTTGTCCAACTTCTAAGAAAAACAGAAGGCCGTTGTTTAATTCTAGAGCTATTCTCCTTCCTACAATGCAATGAAAATGAGTGGCATACTTGATGGCCTGGCATCGGACCAGGATGCGGTCTCCAGTGTGCTCCTTGGGGCAGTCAGGGATGGGCCGGATCTCCACGGCATCTTCCTGGAACATAATAACAGAAAAAGGTTGCAAACCATGCAAAAAAGGGGAGGAGTTATAATGTTTGGAGACGTTTTAGAACCTTGGGACTGGGAGGCAGTGAAATTTAAACTAGAAAATAGCAACACATTCTTCATGTGTTAACAATATACAAATGTACAACCAATCACAGACAGGAAAGGTGTAAATTCAGTGTATTATCATATTAAGCAAAGTAATTTAGCAAATCCTCAACTGGGAATGTTTGGAACTTGAAAAAATTACTGCCAAAAAGTTGTTTATCATTAAAATAGTAGCAGATTAACTATCTACTTTAAAAACAGATTTTAAAAATGTTATTATTATAAAAGAGTATTTTTATATTATTGTTATTTCTCATATATCATATAAATACTAGAAAAATTCCTCAGTTCCCACCACAGTGAAAGCAAGATACCAAAAACATTTGTGGAAGAAAGCGTTTGAAGAGTTTTGAAAATTCTTGCAGCATGACAGAAGGATCTAAAAGACCTTTAGACAGTCTCTTGATACCTTAGTCACAATTAGAAAATATATCAGGGCTTGCGTCATAACATATCACATTACCATTAGTCTGTTGCCCACAATTGCACAACTTTTAATGAAGTAATATTGTTTTGAAGCTCACACTAGTTTCCATATTGGTGAGGTATGCCTTCTTCAAAAATGTAAAATTATACAAGCAGGCACTGGTATGTTATAGTATCTGTACACCAGCTCTGTCTTCATCTCACCTCGTCAGCTGGTGGATACAGAGCAAACAGCTCAGGGTATCTATTCCCCTGCCGTGCCTCCTGGTTGAAGCGGTCCAACTCCTCATGGCTGCTGAAAGCCAACAGCCCCTCTACCCTCTGGTCTGGAGTTAAACAACGCAGGTTAAAGTCAGAGGAGGTCAGCGTGCGACCAGATTCATCGGTGAGCCTTGCTAAAGTTGGAGACTTGACCTGGGGAAATACAAAATGTCGGGATAAATGGTGGCGTTTGGGGTCAGGGAGGACAGAGAGAATGTGATGAGTGTAATGAAATGTGAGAGCAGGACAGATTGAGCAACAGGAGAACGACAAAGATGAGAAAGTGAATAAGGTATAAATGAAAGTATACCGGGGGTGTTATTATGACAGAAAACTAATTAAAATAGGTGCAAGGTAAAGAATACCAGCAGATATTTTGCCAAAGCCTGCTATCTCCTTTAAAGTAATTACTTGATTTAGATTTTAATAACTGAATAATCATAATTTCAAGGAGATTCCAATTCTCCCCCTATCGTTTTAAATCTCCCTACATTGTCCCAAATCTATGCATACTACACTGCTCAAAAACAATTAAGGGAACACTTGGATAAAAATGAGCACCAGGAAATGAGCAGGCATGAGCTGAAAACCTTTAAATTCACTCACATTATACAGTAGTGTGATATTCAGATGTATATAAACATTTCAGAAGCAGAAAACACTGTAATTCCTATTTAGTAATTAAGAGTTGATATTACATTGTATTAAATTTATCTGACTGGATCATTCTCTGTCCATCAGTAACAATTCCCTCAATTTGGCAACAGCACCATATGGAATTACTCAAACTCAGCTTCAGGGCATAACCTCGGCCTCTGCCACCCCTGTCTCCTGTCTATTTCACTTCCATCAGTTTCACATCCTGCTTCTCCAGCCACAGGCTGGGACTGACCGAGCTTCTACCCTGCTGAAGCTTCATCCTGCCAAATCTCCAAGAGACCATCACACCCTAAAGCAACAGCAGACTTGACCATAGGAGAGTCCCATTAAGTGCTGAAGGACAATAGTGTTGTTCTTCCCTTCTCTGTCACTCTCTTTCTTGCATGTTGATCATGGGAATCCAGTGTCATTAATAGGGGCCTTTCGGTTTGGGTAATTAACCAGAACTGGCAAGGACTGAGCAACAAGAGGAGGCTGGTGGGAGATGGTTGGATAACTAGCCCAAAGCTGAGAGTGGTGCTGATTGGAACTTGGATTGCTGGGACTGCATGATGCAGTGAGAGAGGGTGGGAACTTGGCTCAAAATAATGTCAGTGGAGGACTGAGGCATGGATCCACAATGAAAGCAAAGCCTGATGACTTCATGCAGATGTCAGCTACTGAGTCTTTTTTTTTAAATATAGTATACCGTATATTTAACCATAACATCTACAGTATCTGATTATGTGGTGAAGCCCACAGAGGTGTTGAGGGTTGGAGTGTGTTTAACAATCAGGTTTAGTTTCATGCAGCCCAGGCTGAGTAAACCTGACAGGGCCAGTACAGTGGTGAAAGAGGAATAACAAAACACTGTTGTGTTCACTGTTAAAGCATCCCCCACCCTGGGTTCCCACCCATCCCTCACATTCACATTCAGTACTGTTGCCTTTCTCTCAAGCCTTGATCAGTATGGACTACCATACAGCTCTCACTAAAACGTCTACCCTTCACAAAGGACACTTTAACTAAGTGCAACACCTTGGCATTCAAGGACTAAGTTGGAAAGTAGCTTTATTTGTCCTTCTTTGAAAGCACACTTAAAAGAACAGTTTGAAATTTTGGGAAGCAGCTTATTCGCTTTCTTGCTGAAAGTTTCTATAGATGAGAAGAACAATGCCAGTCTCTCATGTCTGCATAATATGGAGCCAGAGCATGAAGATGATTAGCTCGAAATAAAAACTAGATGCCCAGAAGAACAGCTAGCTTGCACTTCAAAAAGTTACCTTCCAGCACCCGTAGAGCTCAGTAATTACATGTTACACTGAAGATTTGTTGTTTAATTTATCCCAGCATTTCTTAAGATTGAAATAAAAACTTCAAAGAGTGAGTGTGTGTGTTAAAATGCATGGTTGACTGTATTTGTGTTCCTTACTGGTTTCTCTTGGTTTTCTGGCTGAACATCAGAGTCAAAGGTCTGTTTCTGAAGACACTTGTGCAGGCCAGCTCGAGTTGAATAGGCGCTCCAACCATCCCCCTGGCACCTACACACACACACACACCAGAAGGTAATATATGGCTACAACTGATACACCTCTGCACTTCTAATCAAACTAGATAACACAAACAGTAGTTTTACACAACATGTGTGTGTTGAGTATGTGTGGGGATTTGCACTACAATGTATCAGACAGGAGGTCCCAGTGTATCCCAGGCCTCTTGTTTCCTGATTAACAGACACATGCAACAGTGTAACAACTAAAATGAAAGGACATCCTATCAGGTATTATTTCAAAAATAAAACATGGTTTTCCATGTCTAATCTCTAGAAATACTGCTTTTGTCATTTTAAAGTAGCAACGTGAAACCTAACAGCATGTACAACCGCTGCACAGCTCGGACTATGACTGTTGTGTGCCTCTCAGGGAGTATTTACCTTCTTGAAACCACAAGCCACGGCTGGGTGTAAGTCTTTACACAGTCTCTTACATGGGGACCAAGCTCCACTCTACAAGATGAGGGACAAAAGTAAAGGAGAATAAGAAGACATGTACACAAACACGCATGTGAACATTCACAGACAGCTGTAAGCTTTACATTCCTCTCCCATCTTAATCTGTACTTCATGGTCACATTGTTAGCACAAGTGAATGCTAAGATGCTGAAACATGCACTGACAGAATAGCTTTAGGATGATTTTAGGCATTCCAATAAACTCACTGAGTCCTGTCCTTCAGAAATGCATTAAGATTGTCATTTGACTTTTATCTAACACAAAGTTCATGAAAAGTGCAGATATACAGTATGTGCACTGATGACTGTGAGGCTAAAAACACTGCTTACTACCATTTTTGCACTATTTTACACCAAGGTCCACTTGTTTCTGTTGTTCTGCTGTTTAATATCTATTGGTGTGTAACCCACCCATCTTCAGGGACAGAGTGTCGAACAGTGCGACACTCCTTCTCCACCTGCTCCACCTTCAGGTCATCATCGGGGAAGTCTCCAAGTTCTTGCATCAGGGCTGATTCTCCACTTCGTAGCTGTGACATCAAGAATTCCTCCAGGTCCAGGGGCTCCACCGCTTCATACGACTGGGGCTGAAGAATGAAGGAGTGATGGAGGAAGAGAAACATTGACAATGGGAGGAGAAAAAGAGAAAGCTAGATTAGAAAAGGGATTAGAATACTTGGCACCAAATATCAGTGGAGAATCAGCAGAGATCCTTAAAAGTACATTTTGCAACAAATGTATGGATGTAAGGCTTCTGAAGACTCTGTCTCAGATTTGTCTCATAAGGTTTAGATATGGGGCAACAAAACTATGTTAAACATGTTGAATAAACAAAACAGAATAATTATTTGTGAAAACAAGAGGCTGATTTCTTAATTTGCACAGTCCTCTGTCGTATCCAAATACTGCAGATGAATACTGAGGGGAAAAAAACATAGGCAGGGAGGTGGGACCATGTTGAATGACAACTTTCTTTTTAATGCCTCAATCTTGTACCTGTCAAGGAACAAAAGATACATAAACAGATATTAAAACAAACTGGCCTGTATCAGACAACCAAACATTTTTCCTATTTGAACCTATTTTTAGACAGAAACTCCAGCAGCCCACACTCCAGAGCTACAGGAGATCAGTGGCTGTAATCACTTTTATGTATAGTACAGATGGGTTGAATTTTTCACAAGGGCCTTTAAATCAGTGCATATTGTTAAAATCATCAACAGCAGTAATTGAACCACTTCCCACTGGTGCTTAAAGGGGAGGAACACAATAGTTAAACCTTTTATCATAAGGCAGCAGAAGATCTGAACAATCTGGCTGGCTACCGTTGTAAAAGTCTGAATAGTAATCACCTTTATTTGGCCAAGTATGTTACATACAAGGAATTTGTTTCTGGTACAGAACCGAGGCAGCCATCTGCGGCGCCAACTCAACCAATGGCTTTAACCATCGGGGGCAACTTGGGGGTTCAGTGTCTTGCCCAAGGACACTTCGGCACGTGGACTGCAGGCACCAAGATTTGAACCTCCAACCCTCCGGTTGGGAGACAACTACTCTACCCACTGAACCACAGTCGCCCCCAGTAGTGGCAGCTAACTGGGCAGAGAACCAGTCTGATTACACTCAGTGGATGATTCCTATAATATAATAAAACTATCCTCTCAATGTTTTTCAACATAAACAATGCACAGGGTTCAGAGAGTAAATCTAAAAAGATATTTTTTAGTTTCTAGTGCTATACACTGTTGCACAAGGGAAGAATATGCATGAAAAACAGGTGTGAAAGAATGAGAGAGAAAGAGTGAGTAGAGGAGAGATACAGAGCCAAACCAGTACCTGGTATAGCCTACACATTAACAGATAACATGAAGTGTCTCAAATAACTGCAGCAACAACATGAGTCACCACTGCGCTCAACTTTTGAAAGCAGAGCAAATTCCATTTGCCTTCAGACATGTTTTTGCACATCAGTCCACCCTAAGGGATATTATTCTGTGCTGAGTACACAAGAGAAATTTTTACCACATGGGTGAGTATTAATGGTTAGCATGCAATAGAAGACACAGACAGATGGAACAGCGGTATCATTATTACTTTAAATGACAGGCCTGTAGATGAGACCTTCAGCTCCTCTGTTCTGAGGAGGAGGAGGAGGAGGAGGCGTCGACCTCAACAGCGTCTCTATAGTGGCGGTCTTCTTCATACATACATTTCTCTGGCTCTTTGCCTCAAAGTTCAAACAACCATTATAGCATGGCCACTTTTTCTTGTTTAGTACGGAGGCTAATGAAAACAAATGAATGCAAATCTATGCATGCCTCTGATCAGTGCCTGCTGCTCTGTGGACTCATGAAAGGAGCCAGCGAGAAACTAGTGCTCCTTGCCAAATCAGCAGTCAGACTTACTATCAGCTTGGTGATTATAAAGACGATGCCTTTGCAACAAATTATGAGAATGGAGTTTGCTTTCACAAGCAAGAAGCACTGGAAACAAGTGAAAACACTCAATGAAGACAACACAAGGAAAATAAACTAAGCTTTTTGGGAAAAGAAATTACACTTTTAAAGCCAAGACATGTTGTATCATCATAAGTGGATGCTCTTTAATGCAAAAGTCATCCAATTAAAAGCTATATGTATGTACAAACACCACTGCTTTCAATGACCCAGGAGAGACAGCCGACATGTATATGTAACAGAAAACTCACTGCAAAAAATGTTCTTACAAAACACAACTACATTAAAGCTGAACTGTGATATTTAAGACAAACAAGAATACTAATAAATTCATTCTTAAGTTTCATTAGATGACAGTTGCACTCATACGGAAACTGTAGACTTACCCTGACTGAACAACTGCACCATAAAAAGGAAGTGCCTTCAAAATGGCGCACTCCGGATATATAGTAGGAACCTAGAGTGCACACCTACTGACACTGAGTGCTTTTTGTTAAAACCAAGGCAAAGTGTAGCGCACCGATCATCTTTAAACTGATCTTCATGTTGCCAGAAGCTGAGAACTCCAGTTAATCAGAGAAAAAAAAAAAATTACCAAAAGAGGAAGAGGTGTTTACAGCCCATTAAAATGAATGTTTGAGTTGACCCTGACTGTTTAAACCCACAAAACATTTTGAGCAGCTTTGAGCATTTAGAGCAAAGTGGCTAACAGCTTAGAGCTGCAAACCTAACCACAATACCTTAAAGGAAGTGACATCACCAAGGCATCCCTTCACCAACTGGTGTTTCAACAGACAAGAACAGAAACCACAGACACACAATCGTGCATGCTGCTGATATACACATTCACAAGTGCTGCACACAAGCACAAAAACACAGAGCACTTCATCCTAATCTCTTAATTATATAAAGCTACAAGAAACACCAATCAGTCAACTTTTGTAATTTCAGGCACTAAAAATAGCAGCAGAGCAAGAGAGGGACAATGGTGATAATACAGCGATCTGTGTCACAACTGCAGCAATAACCCCCCCTCTCTGTGATAGACATGACTGCTGAATAAAGAGAAACTATCATCCTGGAGATTATAGTATTAAAACCCCTCTCCTGTAGCCCAAATTCAGCCATATTAAATATTTGCCCATGTAAGCTGCCCCATCTAGCGCCTGTCAGTAGCCAAGGCACTGACCCATTTCCCAAGCAGGTTAGAGATTAACCGTGTCGCATGCTACGAGCTGGGGTCCATGTACTCCTTCTCAAACCCTGTCAGCTCATAACCTCAAGGATCATCACTGGGAAAGTATCAAAGGGCTTCAGCTCAGTCACACGTGTGCACAGATATGTTAGGAGACTTAATGCCTAAGAGCTTTAAAAAAACGTTACATGAGAGAAATGTAGGGCAGAAGAGACATAAAAATGTGAGGGGAAGAGAGAAATATAAAAAAGCAAAAGGACTGAAAGAGAAATATAAGAATCTAGGAGGCAATGGTTCAGAGGGTACCACAGAGAGACTCAGTGGGAAACAAATCCCTGCAAGGGATTACTGTGCATCATTCTGTGTGCTTGCTTAAGAGAGCAGGGATCACTGTCTGCTAAGCCTCAACTAAAGAGGAAAAAACAACCCGTCATATTGTTGTTCAATGCTCTGCAAAAACTAAAGGATACTAGGTTTTCTAAACCCTGATGAAAACAGAACAGGCAGTGCCAGCCCAGTTTTAACAAAAGCGAGGTTAAGCCATGACTACATTTTCATAACATCTATAGAAAGAGGAAGAATGATTCTTCCTAATAATACTCACTACAGCTGTCTGCATTTCTGCAAAAGCACTAACTTAGGCTGCAACATAATTTCTATTATACAAAATACATATATTATTCTGAGTCAAACATTCTTGGTGCCAGGAAAGAGGATGTGAAGAAAATACGTTTATAGCCCTTTAGGGGTGTAAGCACAAAAACTAAAAAGGTACTATGTGAGTGTTGCATTAAAGGAATCCACTCCACAGTCTTCCTGGTCACAGTATGAATTTGTCCTCAACTTACATTACATCGCTGAATTTACAGATGCAACTTTATAGATACAGCACTAATTTTCTGCTGATCTCCAAAAAACGTGTTAGATTTTTGTGGAAGTATTTATGTAGTCCGTAGTTTTCTCTGGACCCCTACCCAATGTGACCAGTGATGACATGTTTAGCCGCATGTCGTCATTCAACCGCTGGCTGTCTAGGTGGTGCCCAGAATAACGTGGGCTTCATAGACAACTAGAAAACATTTTGGGGAAAACCTGGTCTGATTAGTAGAGACGGCATCCATCCCACTTTGGGTGGTGCGGCTCTCTCATCTAGAAATCTGGACGAGTTTGTTTTACAACCTAAATTATGACAACCCAG